TTGGTACGATCCCTACTTGTAGATGTGTCACATAATAAGGTTTCCTCACCTGTTCCCATCTGTCTAATACGTAGTTTTAGAGTTGTCGAGGATAACTCATGCTGAAGATTAATGTCTTCTTTTTGAAGCTGAGCAAGTTTAGGAAGGTCGATTCCTTGGAAGCTGTTCAAGGAATTAATAAGAGACAAAGTACCTGCGACTACATTGTTTGCTCCAGAAATGTGTTGTATATCTGAAGTAAACTGCGAAACGTAGTCCAGTTGTCGAAACTCTCGGTGTGAGTACTTGTCTGAAGATGGACTCTAAGAAAAGGTAGGAGGTTTATGATCGGCAAAAGCGTGAATTCTCTTCCTTCGATGGAATGGTGGAAATGCCGTACAGCACAATACATAGCTAGGAGTTCACTACCGAACGTGCTGTACCTCGATTCAGTGTCTAGCAACCGTCTCGCGAAAAATCCTAAAGGTTACCAAGAGTGGTTGACCCATTGTTGTAAGACTCCTCCGATTGCTGAGTCGGATGCGTCTACGGCGATACTAATGGGCGCTTGAGTGTCTTGATGTGCGAGCAGGGTTGCCCTTGCGATGAGTTCCTTAACTGTGGCGAATGCGTTTCGCGAGGTGTTGTCTAGATTAATTGATTTCGCATGTACAAGGAGTTGGTCAGTTAACGGTTCCATAAGGGATGCGCATTTCGGTATGAACCGTCTGTAGAAACTTACAAGGCCATTGAAAGTTCGCAACTGCTTAATCGTGGTCGGTTCTGGCAAGTCCGTCATAACATAACAGAACACCATCAGTCTTGGTTGAGCAAAGGACAGGTAAGAATGATTAATAGTCCTACTCTCGCTCACTTAGTGGACACAGGACGTCAATTCGAACTGAATAAAGCTTTTAAGACTATCTACCAAATTCCATAAAATTTGCCGCATGGTATACGAGTTCGTCCTTTTGAAAATTGCTGAAGCCATTGGAATCCATGTTTACAAACCAATCCTTCGCATCCAAAAGAAGTTTGTACAACCACTCTCGCTGCCTTAGCTATCGGTATAGGGATGAGTTTGTAGCAGAGCTTTGATAATCTATTTTCGTATTTCTTCCACTTTTTGGACTTCACTTAGTTTCGACATTCGTCTCTTGATTCTTACATAACTACTATATTACTGACCATTCATCAAAATATTTTTATAGTTCCTTCTTCCTTTTTGCATATCATACAACGTAGAAACTGCTTGATTTTCGAAAAAAAAAATATATATATATATTAGTGTAGAGTCATGATGAAAAACTAATTGAAAAGGAATTTCTTCGCTCGACTCGTTCCTTCTTTATTTACCAAACATGAAAACGGCACTTTTCACTATAATCCTCAGGTTGTCGAACACAGAGTCTTAGCTTGGGCAAAGCCGGGATAAATAAGCTATTTGGCTTGAGAAACTATTTACTTCTGAAACACAAATTGACACCGTTAGTTTACAAAAAAACAATTAACCCAGTCTATTAAGCAAGAAAAAATGCCACATACATAACATACAGAATAGTAACTAGAACCTAGGAAGAATGAGTCAACAAAACTTAATGATATTTATGACAAATATGAATGATTGTGATTGATGAATAATTAATAAGGCACATTCATACAAGGTTGTTGTAAGACTCCTCCGATTGCTGAGTCGGATGCCTCTACGGCAATACTAATGGGCGCTTGAGTGTCTTGATACGCAAGCAGGGTTGCCTTAGCGATGTGTTCCTTAACTGTGGAGAATGCTTTTCGAGCGGTGTCGTTAAAGCTAATTGATTTCGCATGTCCACGAAATTGGTCAGTTCACAGTTTAATAAGAGATGCGCATTTCGGTATGAACCGTTTGTAGAAACTTACAAGGCCATTGAAAGTTCGCAACTGCCTAATAGTGGTCGGTTCTGGGTTTCGGTTATAGGGTTTAACTAAGTCGATTTTTGAAAAGACAGTTGTACCTTTCACGGTAGCTGTCAAATCGTGAATGTGGGGCAACGGGTAACGACCGGAAATGGTTTAAGCATTCAGACGCCGATAATCACCAGTTGGCCGCCAATCGTTGCTGTCCTTTTTAGGGACCATGTGCAAGGGAGATGACCATGGGCTATTTGACGGTCTAATGATTCCTAATTCTATCATGTGTTCGAATTCCTTTTTAACTAACCTAAGTTTTTCTGGAGGCAGTCGTCGTGCTTTTGAGAATACAAGTGGTCCTGTAGTCGAGATGTGATGTGTAACATTGCTGATTACACACGGCGATTTCGGTTGTGGTTGATACGTCCCAGAGTATTTATCGAGTAATGGTTGATATAAGGGGGCTATGGTGTACTTAATTGTGACTGGGGATAATATGCAACCAGAAAAAGGAGTTACACAAACAGATAACTTAGTGTTTCCGTCTATTAACCTTCGTGAACGTGTGTCGATGAGTAGATTGTGGTATTGTAACAGGTCTATACCAATGATTGGCATAGGAACATCTGCAACAACGAAAATCCAGTGTATGGGTTTGCGTAGACCCACGTAAAGGTAAACGTGCCTTTTACCATGCGTAGCAATCAGTTTTCCGTTTGCCGCCTGTAAACTTAAAACAGACACGTGAAGTCTGTCGTTAGAGTTCGCGGAAAGCACGCTAACTTCTGCGCCAGTGTCGACGAGGTAGCGAACTTTCGTTGTCACATCTGTGACGTATAACAGACGGCTATGTTCGCCGGCTACGGTTGCCAAGTTGGAAGTTTCCCGAGTTTTTATTTGTGTCAGTCGCCTTACAGATCGTGTAATTGCAGTGTTTCCTTCAATTTCTAGAAGATTTGCCATACTTGTTATGATACCAGCACCAGTCGGGATCTCTCGACCACGAGAGACAGATCGCCTACGTGATACGCTTCTTCGTGCGGTCCTTGACCGACTACGGTCATTACGAAATCGCAGATATCGTGTTAGTGTATGACATAATTCATTAATGTCATTTTGGGTCGTTTGAGGTTTTTTTTAACTGAAAAAAACCTCGGCGCCAGTGGATTTGGTAATTTCAAGAATTCGATCAGTAGATGCAGCAAGTTCGTCTACCGCGTTGTTTCGGAACGAGTCGAGAACTGCCTGTACCTGTTTTGGGAGTTTGGATAAGAAACGTTGTTTGAATAGGTATTCGTCAAAGGTCAATGATATTGAGGAGTTGGTCTAACGTTTGTTGATCGATTAGATCTCCAAGTCTCAGAATCGATCGTTGTAGCGTTTCGTAAGGTTCCGACACATCACTAGTAAACATACTAGGTGATACGTACCTTTTAAATTCGCCCGGTAGTGCCTTAACCACCGCGAGGAATTGTGAGCGTGAGTCCGTAATGCCGTGGCCGTTAAAGTCAGCTTCTGCGTAGCAGAACCAGGATTCGATATTGTCAGGCCGAAACCGGGTTGACTGAATCGAGGGTAGGGGAATAGTTTTTAACTTAAACACCTTAGGTGTCTGTTACGTCATAGTATTATTAGAACGAAAAATCTATGATTAAAATATATCCGAAAAAGTCGAAAAAATGTATATCACAATATATAAAAATCAAATGAAGAAAAACAATGAATATTGAAGCTCCATAAAGGAACAGACCCACAGTTAATGTGCTTGGTGTACCAAATAACGTCGGTCTCACCACTGAAGACACGACTAGTATTGTAGTTTGGCAACTAGCAACCAGTAACACGTAGATTCGAAGCGTCCCCAATTACATAAAACCAGAAGTCAGATGCGAAGAGGTAGGAAAGATATATTTGATGCGTTATCAATATATCGAGAAGCGTTTGCTCTAATCTGGCTAGTGAACGTAAGAGCTCTGTCCCACGCTGAGTCGTAACGTGATCTGGTGCGGATGCATGACCGAACACCTTCAGTTAAACAAGTACACTTAAAACAATGTGGTCAGCATCCAATGTCGAACACTTAATGAGCTACTGATTTTGGGGAATTACTTACAGCTACAAGGTTGTAAATCTTCATCGACTGAAATGATTGGGCCACGTGGTACGTATGTCTGAACACCGGTTACCACGACGCGCAATGCTAACTAGTGTTGGGGATGGCTGGAAGAGTGTTAGGGCGACCAAGCCAAAACGTGGCATCAGTGCTTGAAGTTACTAACTTCTGGTCTTAGCAATGTTGGTAGGTGCAGACTACTTGGTTGGGGTCCGTGTGACTATCGTAACCAATGGTTGGAGACTCTGGGTGACATGGCTCAGAATCGATCACAATGGCATAGGCGTATACACTCTTTGTCTTCCCTTAAACTGTGAGATTAAAATTGCTTTATACCTTTCTTTCTTCGAACTAATTCCTTCTTCCTGTACTATCTTTTTGTACACAATCTTTTGTATATTACTACAATTGAAGTAATTGCTTATATGAATTTTTTGTTCTTGTTGTGCTAATGAGGTGTGGCAACTTCGACCGATGCACATATGTGCTTGGTCCTACGTTGTAGCTGACTGATCTTGTAGGGAGCAAGAACAAATATTTGATCGAAATAACAAGGCCAATGAAAATAACATACTCTATTTCGTCTGACAGCGAGTATGAATATTAGCCAATAATGTTTACCATATTTACACGAATTATATGCACTTATCCAAAAGTACTTTATTATCATTGAGCTACCTGCTCATGTAACGCAATAGCAGTCCCCTTTGAAACCCTCATCACACAGTTCTTTTAATAGAAAATGCAGGGATTGATTAGATCGGTCTAATGTCTATTTAAGCTGTGAAAGCACAAGATAATAAATAGTCACGGAATTACAGTTCATTAAGGTTGAGCTGTTTTTAGTTTAGCAGACGTCAAAACGTTCAGCTTCATTGTCTGATTGAATATTTATACATCAAAAAGAACTAGAATTCTTATCAAACCAATCAGTGCCATGGCCGATTACAAAAATGACTTAAAATTAACCAAATGCCGTAACATGTTAACGAATTAATGAGTAAAACAATGGTCATTTCTTGTGAAAGGGAAAATTTATTATACAATTCTTTTGTACAAATTTACCAATGAAAAAGTGCTACGAGGAATGAATATTTTTTACATCAAACCCAACAGATTTAGTAGTTTTCTTTGCCAAAACAAGTGAATTACACATCTGGAAAAATCAGAAAATGTAAAACCAATTATAATTCAAACGTACTCCACCAAATAATTGCTTAGATAGCCGAAATCGAAGTAAATACCAATATTAAGATCATTAGTCATTTGTAAGATTACCATCATGCGTTATGGACCGTGAAAGTGGCTTTGGAGGGAGGGGGGCATAACAACGGAAATTTTTCATCATTGTTGCAACTAGTTCTTAGGGGAATATATTCATATTACTGAAACTATGTAAGCAAATAAGGACCTTATATGAGGACAAGGGATACTTCTAGGTTTCTCGAAACCAAGCGGATGTTTTCTGAGGTTAACTTCAATACCTAGTAGGTGTGTGCATGTATGAAGAATACTGAATTTTCCTTGAAGATCAGTTGTCAAGAATGCAAAAATCATTGATTCTAAAATTGATTTGCGAAACAACATAAACTTTCCCCAAGGATTTGAATTTACACACAAACATACCTAAAATTGCTCAGAAGGAAACAAAAAACTGCAATTAAATTGTGGCTCGAAATCGATTGAATTAGTGTAGATATATACATTCTTTAGCTTTTCTATCCACATTGTCATTTGCCCTTTTATAAACTCAATTTTGTGTTCCTGCTATTGCTATTATCAACACGATTCTTCCGAGCTTAACTTGTTAGTCTTCTCTTTTTCACTGTTCAGATGTGTGCCAAATGGGTGCGACGGAAAATTGTGCCAGGCTTCACGTTGCTTATTATTGAAACAATTCGTTTTAACGATAATTGTAACTATGCAGCTAAATAACTCATGCTTTTATGGTCTGGAGAAGTCGTTATCAGTAAATTTTGCTTTTCATATGGTCAGTATAATCACTGATTATAACAAAAAATGTAACGAGAGTAAGCGCTAACATCGATATATGAAATAGTTTGAAATGTGTAGAAAGATTTTTAATAACTTTCAACTAAGGTGAACACTATTCACTAAGCTGATAGTAGATCATTCTGAGGGTACTGTCCAGTACAGTACAAAAATGAGGAATTTTTACCACTGACAAACCAAATTCAATGTAACTACGTTAGATGTCGGCTGAATACAAGGCATTATGCAACCGCAATCATTTAAGTATAGAGGCTTTATAAATGGAATATATATTTTCCAGGGATTCATTATTTGGATTACTACTTTAACAACTTTTGATCGGTCCAATCGGATTTTAAATCTAAGTAGGACAATCTCGCTAGAGTAAAGTGTAATGAAGAGTGCTTATGTTTTAAAATCTGATGAAGAAAAGTGAATCTGTTTTTTCGTTATATTGCGGCCAGGGTCCAATTGAATAGTAAACATATTATTTCAAAAACAATAGATGCAGTCGTAGCTGAATTAATGCTATTTAATTTACTGCGATGAATGAGCTTTAGTATATAACTAATAGGACTGGTGTGAATGAACTACGACTAATGTACACTGACTAACTGAGGGATCGTCTCAAAGTAAGAAACTTATATGTTATGAAAGTAATTTATAAAAAACATCCTATATTTACTGAGTTTACCTTCGATATATTTTTTTTTACTAGCTTGACGGGACTTTGGAAGCTCGTCGTAAAGTTTCATTTATATTGTCAGATGATAAATAAAAATAGTTTCTAACCAGCAGCTTTCCTACGTGCAGTAGTTTTTACAGCTTCTTAATCAAGTTTTATCAGCATATTCCTCAACAATATTATCATTATCAACACAAAAAATTCTAATTTTACACGAAATACTGTTAGAGACAATTTTATTTATTTGTTCATTTGAATACATAAATATTGGTACAAGGGGGTACCGAATACATGTGCGCCACATAAACCACTCAACTCGTGTGAAGGCTGGGATACTGCCCGGACCGAAGCAGGTGGTTTTCTTAGGGGACCACACCCAGAGCCTTCGACCTAAAGGTCTGATCCACAAGGCAGCAGAGCAACGTCAGGAAATGCAGTCCCACGGTAGCCGGTGACCAACGATTAGTCCATACACCATTTGTTCCTTTAGGATCCTGGAGCCCATGTACACTATTGGTTTGGAATCAGGGTTTTCCAGCTAACTCTTCTAGATGGACCCTCCATGTCCATCTATTCGGTTAAAGCACTAAACATTCGCTTTTTGTCCTCTCAATTTCGTAAACAACATCCCCACCGCGAGAAGGCAGTGCGTAGGACATCTCTGGCAGTGGTTGTATACGCGTGGTTGGGTGAGAGGGAGAGCTGACTCTCCCCACTCTTGGTCGTGCCAGGGCATTTGAGAGTACAGACAATCTGATAACAGTTCATTCACAGAACAAAAATGATTATCTTGTAAGCGCACATATTGATACAGATAAAAACCAAATACAATTCTACAAGCGGGTAATTCAACATATTAAGTAAATTATGTGTACCTACCTTGACCGAATACTATGTGTTTTGGATTATCACCGATATGACTCCTATCTTTGCTTTTGAACTTCTTTTTCTTATGAGACTCTGGAGTGTTCGCTAAAATAAAGACATTGTGGATACGTAAGTAAAAACTGTCATATATATCAATGCTTAATGAGTCCCTGTGTTATATTTGTTTCGTTTATGTACGTACTTACAAGAAATACAGGATAAAAAACAACCACACAAAATGTAAAGTAAATACGATCATTTCAATATCGGACTATTTACTTACACAAATGCGAATCGGTCATATTCACGTCTATGCACTCATATTTCCGTTTTTTCAGTTTGTGTTTCTTATTGGCTAGATAAACAAAAATGAAGTAAAATGATTTCCAATGATCAACTTGATCTAAATCAATACAGTATCCTATTTTTTAAAGTAAATCATTAGAACCAGTCTAAGTAGGAGCGACAAGTTAAACGATAAGTTTGTTAGTCCACGTCAAGTGAAGTGATAAGATCATGTACCACATGCGTGAAGTCAAGCTACTGGGTACTAGGAAGCGATCACAACAAAAGTTGGAATCAGAGATTTCGTACTAAGTTAGTTTATGAAATGAAAAACCCACAATCTTAATCATTTGAGAGAGGTTGAATTTCCAGATTGCACACCATGTGAAAGGAAAGTGATCAGTGGTTTGATACATGAGTTGATTACAATAACACAAATTTACTCACTACCCTACTTGACTCTTGAAATGGGTAGCATCTATACTGTTTTCTTTAATAACCTGTTTCAGTCCTCTTTGATTTGTTTAATATTCATTCGATTTTGGTGCATGACAAGTTAAGTGGATGTACTTTAATGCAAAATTATACGTCAATATGTCTAACTGTTACGTTAATTGTCTATTTGTTGTATCAATCCCTTACACTGTTTTATTACTAAATATAAATCTTCTATAATGCAATAAGATGAGTAGATAGTTGATCGTTACGATTCTCAAGGTATTCAAAATAGAGAATGCAAATAAGCAGTATTCACCTGAGTCTGAAGCCACAAGTTTAGTATTCTCCAAAAAGACATTCGTTTCTTCAAGTTTCTGTTTTTTTGATTTATTCTTTTTATCTATTGAACGAAGTACAATAAGAATAGACACAATTAAGCATAATACATCATTGTTGCAACATTGCTTCAGTAGAGGGGTGTGTCAAAAATTATCTTTTACTAAAAACCTCAGAGAAGCTGAAGAAAGCCCAGAACATTTTGGCCAAAATGTGGACTTGCTTCAGTACTAATCAATAAAAGGTTCAAGGATATAAGGTTAGTATATAAACATACGTGAATAGATCTAACAAACTCTTTTATGATAAACATGTGCTGTGATGTCTGAACATTCAAAGCGGGACATCATACATAAGTGTGTAAAGTGTTTCGAAAGGAAAGTCAAATCTTCCTCGGAAACATCACTGTTTGTCAAACATGAGAAAAAAAACGCTAGAAATTTTCATTTTTATACTAAAAATTGCACTGTGAAACTAATTAGGAACTGGTGTCAAGTGATAATTCTTTTAAACCTTCAACTATTACTATCGTCAATGATATAGATTAATTTTATGCAATTAGTTCCTTTTATGAATTTAAATAAAACCAAAACAAACATGGATGCAGAACAATATGAATTCATTATATTTCGTGGTTTCTAATCAGCTCCTTACAACCAAATATGCATTAAAATTTTACATCGAGACAAGATATAATGTGAAACAATTAAAATAGATGATTTCATCTCTTTTGAAGCGCAAGTATAAGAAGCAGGTTTTCTTTTCAACTGTATCGTATTTAACCCGAAGGTTGGTTCTGGCATACTTCTCGATGAACTTTGTTGGATATGCGTTTTCACGTAGGTAATTTGTAATGAGAGCGAATTTTGCATTAACAGTCAAAAATGGTTCGTACAATATCCTTTTTGTAATTCACTGAACAGAAACTGTTGCAGTTGAGATAGACTCCACTCCAGGTATTTTCGCGGTGAATGCGTCTTTGTAATGTGCCACTTGAGGTTCGTCTGATTCCAATATCTAAGATATGAAATTTATCTTCTACTTTGCGTTCCATAATAAAATCTATATCCTTGTGTGTTTTGTTAAACAGATTGAGTGTGTTTATAGAATACATATGATTGTTACAGGCGAGAAATGTGTCGTCAATATATTTACAGTAGTGTAGTTCCATCGATTGCGTGCTTGAGCTTCCTCTGTTCCAGGTTTCCCATAAATATATCGGCCAAAATTGGACCCAGAGGGCTACCCATGGCTACTCAATCAATTTGGCGGTGCAACACACTGTTAAATTGAAATTGTATGTTTCTGGTACATAGGAGCAGGGACTGTTTGAACTCATGGATTGGTAAAGGCAGGAGCTCAAGATATTCACATATGATATCTGCCATTTCTTCCAAAGGGATCTTCGTGAAGAGTGGTGAGACGTCAAAAGAGACCATGAATTTATCGGAAGCATTTAGGCTGTCAAGCTTTTGTACAAATTCAAAACTATTCTTCAGACTGTAGGGTGATAGTTTCTTAAGGATTGGTCCTAAGCACCTATCCAGTTAGCGGGCGAGTCTATGGAAAGGTGATTTGGTTATAGATAATATTGGCATTATCGGGATGTTAGGTTATTGTATTTTAGGTAGATCGTATAAGTAAGATAACTGTGATTCTTTTGGTTTGAGTTCATTGTACTTATGATTATCGATTAGATATTTTTTCAAAAGTTCTCTCAACTTTTTTAAAAAGACGCTTTTTAGTCGTATTTGTTAGGTCTTCCTGAGTATTATCGACAATAAATCTCGTGGAATCATTTAAAATGGACATTACTTTGTTAATGTATTCGTCTCTGTTTAGGATGACTCCACCAAAATCCTTATCTGTACGAAGTAGCAATATTGTTTCATCTTTCATAAGCTTTCTCAATACTTTTTGATGATCTTTAGTCAACACCTTAGATTACGGAACTGGTGTTGTAACGTACTGATTTGTAATACCCACAATTTTGTTTTCCATCATTCATGGGTTTTAGGTCTGACAACTATTGATATAAATACTAGAATTGCGTTTCAGTGCCGATTCTGTTACATTTTTTCGTAATATGAAATTGAAATCCAAGGGAGAGCGCCTCCGTTTCATTCGATAAATTCTGTACGCATTTTAATGGATTAGTAGGAAAGACGTCATGCTCTTGTTCCTTTACAACTATTTCGGTTAATGTCTTCATGACTGGTTTTTGACTGAACATTGTGAATGAAATTCACGAGTTTGGTTTGACATACATTATTTAATTCCATAACAAATTTGTCAAAACCGAGGGATTCTGTTTTGAGTATAGAGACAAGTTCTTTGGTGCGTTCAATTTGGGATTTTGTGACGTCGCAGATTTTCTAATAAAGGAGGTATTTTACATGCACGTATAGTTTTAATAATATGGCGAGGAAAGCAGCCATCATTCAAGCGGTATTCAAAAACTCTAATTTTGTTGCTTCTCTCAATATCCTGCAACGGATTGTCGCCAAATTATTGAGTGACTTGAAAATATAGAATAATGGTTTCTAATTCAACTAATATTAATTTTTATCAGAAGGATACACCTACATTAGGTATTTCGTCAACAATATTCAGGTAAGTACAACATCAAGATACGTTTAGTGATATTTAACAGAAGAAAAGAAATGTATTGGTATTAACAGAATAAGCACTTACAAAAATCAAAGAATAGTTATTTTAGAATACAAAAGTGAGTTTAACAGCGGGTAGAAATTTTACAAGTCCCTATTCAAGCTAAACAAATTGAACAAACAGATATAGGCAAATACGATTTAACCAATAAGCTAGGTAACTTCATTATCATTCTAAGTTGAAAATTTTCTCAACTATTGCAACACACAGATGCACATATAATGAAAAGTTATCCAATGTCTCATTACAGAACAGTCAAGGGAGAAGAAAAGTTATTCCTTACCTGATTCTGAAAATGTCGCTTCACTATTTTCAGCTGAGCCACTCGTCTTTAATTTCGATTCATCAATTTTGTTTTTCTCATCTACCAGACAAAACATACAGAGAATGAAAGTTCACTTATTGCTTCGTTAATATCAAAACCATCACTACGCATAGTTTAATTGCAACCTTCTTTAAGTGACACAAGCTATTAACTAAATGGTTAACTTATAGGAAGAAAAGTATTTAAATCAGGTGATTTCAAGAAAATGCAAATAGACAGAGTCGATAAAGTGAGTCACTCAAGACTAGGACATAAAAGATGCTTAATGCTTTTCTCTTTTGCTTTGATGTGGCTTTACTGCTAATATCCGTTCACGATACATACTAAATACAAATAAATAGTGTTATGAGTATCTGGTAAACTTCATGTTATTGTAAACGAAGTTTCGCAACTACTGAATGTTGATCACTTTACAGAACTAAAACAAAGCTGAACAGAAACGCACTTTAAAAAGTAATATTTCACTTACCGTCTGTTGGTGGCCTCAGCTCAAGTTTTTGAGATTTGAAGTTCTTTTTGTCTGAGCATAGAAATAAAGAGAAGCATCAAACTCAAATAAATATTTGTAGTTTGTTGGTAAGTGTACATATGTAGGATACTGAAGTGACAAAGTATACGTAGCAAATTATTAATAAGATTAATAAAAAAACTAGGATGGTTGGTTGACTGAGGTCACTGGGCCAATAGCTACTTAGTCAAATACCATAATTCCAATCAAACAAATAAATGAATACGAAAATTATGTTGGTCAACTGGATGAAAGTAATTTAAAATAAATGAAACCTTCTATTTTAAACAAGACGGCATGTGAAGAACAACAATAATTGCCATTAAACAACTAGTAACTCGATAATTTTGTTTATCATTTCAAAATATACACCAGTACAGTGAATAGGTTGAATATTTTATTGTGAGAAACATACGAAACTTTCTTATTGTCACAGATTTCTGATTAATTCTGATTTTCAAACGATGAGTTGAAGAAAACAAAATGTATGGTGTATATATAATTGAGTACTGATAATTAATCTTACTAGTTTATTGTCCTATTCTATGCTACTTAATGTACGACGGTCTGGGTTTCCCAACAAACATCCAAAAAATAAGACACCTTTTTTAACCTAAAAGTTGCTCCTTGAAACTCGATGCGATGGATTGTTTTAAATAATCGAATTGGCCCAGGTTGGAATTTCATCTCCTTAGCCAAGATTTAGACATTCTAATAAGGTCAATATTCTTCAGTCAGCTACAACGTAGGACCAGGCACATTTATGCATCAGTCCAAGTTGTCATACATCGTTAGCGCAACAAGATGAACACCAAATTCATAGAAGTAGTTAATTTAGTGGTGATAGTATATAAAAGATAGGTTGTCTTCGCCAAAACGAGCTTTTTGAATCCGTGCTGAGATTTCGTCAGACACCAACCCACTAGGACTGATCAGACTTCCAAGATAAGTGAAGTTGTCGACGCGTTCGACTACTTCGTTCCCTATCCTTAGTTCAGGTGTATAATTGTACACGATTACTAGAATCATATTATATATTCATGAATACAACAACACTTACACCATGATTGTATGTGCAGACGATGTTGGTCGATACCTTTTCTACGAAGTTTTTTAACAATTAACTGATTAGATATAATGTTCTTGAGAGTGAGAAATACATTTCTGAAGAAAAAAAAGATATTTGCTAGAAATGGAGGATAGTGATATACACAAAATTTGAAAAAGAACAATGCATTGGAACAAGAAATTCAGTTGCATATATATATATAAAGATTATACATGCGTATAGAAACTAGCGCAAAGATGAACAAATACGTATTACCTGCATGATGGATTACTAGTGGGCACTGAACAGTATTCAATTATGGAGCCCAATGGAAACTGCTTTCGAAGTCGATCATCTTCTATTACTGTAGACAGTTTGCATATTTTTATACCAAATGTAGCGGCTTCTTTAGTATTTGTTTTCATATTTTCGGATTTAATTTCAAAATGAAGACCAGGTAAGGCAGATACACGGCGACCACCAATCACTTTATTTTGACAAGCGTCCAGAACAACTTGAAGATCATCATGACATTCAAACTCAAGTAAACAGGATCTAATAAACCAATTAAAAATAAAAATACTATTAGAAATAAACTATGAAATTCGAATACCAGGTGAGAAAGTCGAAATAACCAAAAGATTTCGGATTACTTACGAGCAGCATCACAGTGCGCACTGAAATATTTTTATCCGCTTCTTCAATGACAACATTCGCGCCAGTGAACAAATTAGGTAAACATCATTCAAATAAAAGGAATAAATTGGAAGTCTATCCAGAATTAAATAGGTCTGTGTATAAAATCTGTGAAGCTGATGCCACGCCAAATAATAACATCCACCGACGTTTTGGACGATGGAAAGTTCAGCTGGTCTGCTGTTCCGGCAACATCAATCAGACTACCCTTCCTGGTCAGAGTCGACTGATCCACTCAGCGGGGCGGAAGTCCGCAGATAACTCCAACTTTTGGAGCTCCACAAATCACTAGATCAAGATGACTTACCTCTAACCCTTCCTAGGGATGGTGGCAAACCGACCTTTTGGTTATGAAACTGACTGAGATGTTTTAAAAGTTCGAAAATCAGAGAGTGTTCCAATGTTATTCTGTTGAAAGATTGGATATAAACTATTTCCCAGTCTCACAATTTCATAAACTATCTTAGCTGAAACTAACCTTATTTTTCCACTTTAAAATAAATTTGCATATCCAGTGTAACCTAAGTAGGAAAATTGGAGTCATCTTATTCAAGCTTAGAGTTTCGTTCCACTTTAGGTATATTTTAGTTATTTTAACAGTATTTAAAATAAGCAGTCAAAGTTGGTTCATCAGAACAGCAATTGAAATCTCGGAGATAGTCATTGATCTGCATTAGAAGAATTGTATTTATTATGCCAGTAGTTTTCACTGAAAGTACCATCAACTAGTTTATCTTCGATAATTTTTTTCGTTGACTATCGCCTGTTAATATCTCTTTTGCTAGCAGATGCAATCTACCACCATCTGCGACCATTGTTATGAACTTGATGTTTCACATTTCGCTTTCTTTTAACTACTGTAATCTAAATTAGTTACTAAAATGTACACACCGAAACATACAACAGTTTTAAAGAAAGTTTTAAAAGACATAGAGAGCTTTTATATTTATTCTGAACTACAATACTAATGAACCGCTATTTATTCATTTGAACAAATAAATATTGGTACAAAAGGGCTCCAGATATATATGCGCCAAACAATAATAATGGGAATGTGAAGATATAAAAAATGTAAGTGCGTACAAGAAAAAAGTAAGACAATGAACAAAAATTACTGTATGATAATGAAATAACAATAATGGGAGGGTCAGATCAAATAGCAAAAGTACAGCCACAAGGAATTCTTCCGCTTAAAGAGGCTACGTCTTTTTTCGATGAAGGAATTAAAATAAAGTTACGGCAGGATCGCCATTGGCTTCTATTCTAAGCAATATCTGATTACGTTTCTAGCCACTGTGTTACACCATCTCTAAAACCCCAAACAGGGAGTCGTGACGGACCAACAGAAGCTAGCCCTCTGCAGCTTTCTTTCATGCCACGACACCATGTCATACACTGACCTTCTCTCCGCTTTTTCCAACCAGTCCCAGAGTCGGCAAATAATGCACGACGTGGAAGTCTCTGGGACGACATTCGTAAGACATGTCCAAGCCACCGAAGTCGGTGTTTCAAGATGGTGACACCAATTGAATTATTGTCTCTGCGCTCGAACACACGATGCCGAACCTCTGCATTACTAACATTGTGTTGCCACTGAATGTCAACAATCCTTCGGAGACAACAATGATGGAACACAGAGAGACGTCTAACATCCTCAACTCGGAGAGGCCACGTTTCACAAACATAAAACAAAACTGCTCTCACCGACGCGTTGTAGATCCGACCTTTTAAAGCCAGACTAACATCACGAAGGCGCCAAAGATGGCGCAGGTTGGCATAAGCCGCTCTGACTTTCATTATAGGCTAATTGATATCATCACTCACACCACCACCAGCACTTATGCAACGACTCAAATACGGGAACTTCTTGACTACTTCAATCTGCTAACTATTCAGGGTGAGTGCAGGATCAGGGTCCTGTCAGTCTTGTAAAAGTACTTCGTTCTTCGAAGGTGCAAAGCACATACCGTACTTACAGACACTAATTGCCAACTAACTAAATGCGGATTGCATGACTCGGGTATCATCGCACAGTAAGATAATATCATCCGCATACTCAATGTCAAGAATCTTTCTCCAGGAAACAGATCCACACCGTCATTACTTACATCCATCAGAGCTGTTCCCAGAATGTCGTCGATAGAACAGTTGATGAGGAATGGTGAGATTGGGCAAACCTGACTAACTCCACTGCTTGAATGGTACGATGGAGAGGGGTGGTTGTATGCCCTCACTTTGCCTGAGGGCAATTTAGCATCAATATAAATTATAATTGTCATCTGAGTATCAACATGGGAAACATAATTTATAGAGAAAGAATAACATCCAAATCTTACCCTTTGTTAACCCCAGTTTTCTTCGTATTTATTATGATTGATTTGGCTGTAGGAAATTCATCTTCTAACTCAGTTTTAGTAATCGAGTATGGTAAGTTGCGAATAGTCAGTCTTAATTCATCACTCTCAGGTTTTTTCTTTTCAGTTTTATCATGGCGCGTAACTTGCCTAAACGATGGCTTTATTAATAAACAAATCGGTAAAAAAAATACAAGTTAAAACAAAACAAAACTATGTGTGAATAAAGCTACTTGGTAATATCCTCTTTCAAGTGTTTGCATATTGATGTACGGAGCAATTGTAGCACGAAATAAGTGTTCGTTGATCCTCAAACATAAGTAATCTACAGATCGATTAACGATCTGGTGTGTATGCACATAAAAACGGACAGAACGTGTGTTTTCTTTCCAAAATAATTTGAGACAACAAATGAAAAAAGTAACTCAAGTTAGCAAAGACCTGTTCACTATTGTATCACAACGAGAATGTTTTCATATATTATCTCTATAGGCGGGAAGTTTTTTCATGGGGTTTTGAGACGGTAGAATTTCGAATCCGAGAGATATATAATTATGTAGACAATCTAAATGTCAGTCAGTCAGTTACAACGTAGAACTTCGTACGTACATCAGTTCGAGTTGCCATACCACATTAGCACAGAGAAACAATTGTCGATTCAAATCCCATATTGGTAGAAGTAGTAAGAGTATAAGTATTATGTGAAAGATAAGGGTTTGAAGATGTTATTGAAGGAGTATAATACGGTGAAATAAATTTGGAAAGAGAAAAAGGATAGAGACATGAAGAATTCAGATTAGAATTTGGTAGAGCACAAAGAGTGGATGCACCTTCGCCATTGCAAAAATTTTTGAGCCATGTCATTCAAGGTCTGTAACCATCGGTTGCTATCATCTCGCGAATCCCAACCAGGTAGTCTACACCTACCAACATGGCTCAGTCCACTTGTCAGTGACTTCATGGATTTATGCCATGTTTTGGTCTGGCCGCCCCTAGCTTTCTTCCAACCTACTCCTACACCATAAAGCATTGCACATCGGGGCAGTCGGTGGTTGGGCATACGTAACACATGTCCCAGCCATCTCAACTGGTGAAGTTTCACTACTTCATCAATCGATTTGCCATCCTTACCTATTACCTGTTTCCTAACATCTGCATTACTTACCCGGTGGTCCCAGGATATACGAGCAATGCCTCGAAGACACCTATGACCGAATACTAGCAGCCTACGAATATCCTCTACTCTTATCGGCCATGTTTCACTGCCATAAAGTAGGAGGGAACGGACTGCTGCACAGTAAACCCGTCCTTTTGTTGCTAGACGGATATCTCACCTACACCATAAATGACGCAAGTTGGCAAAAGCTAGACGAGCCTTCTGTATCCGTGCTGAGATTTCGTCACACACCAGACCACAAGAGCTGATGAGACTCCCAAGATAAGTGAAGCTGTCAACAAGCTCAACTACTTCATTCCCTATCATTAGTTCAGGTGTCGATGCAACCCAATCCTGAAGTAACATTTTGCACTTAGAGGGAGAGAATCGCATCCCGAACATGCCTGCATTGTTGCTTATAGTGGTCAGAAGACTCTGCATTTTGTCAGAGTCTTCACCGAATAAAACTATGTCGCCGGCGTATTCTAAGTCAACAAGTGAGCCTCCTGGTGAAAGTTCAACTCCAGGAGATTGAGATGATGAAAGTGATACCTCTAAAAGCATGTCAACGACAAAGTTAAACAAGAATGGGGAGAGTGGACAGCCCTGACGAACACCACTTGAGGTAACCAATTCTGATGACAGTTCGCCATATGCTCTAACTCGACCAGTTGTGTTCGAGTAGAGAGTCTTTATGAGGTTGATGTACTTCTTTGGTACTCCTTTCACTGACAAACACTGCCATAGAACATCACGATCAACGGAGTCAAATGCCGCCTTAAGGTCAAGAAATACTACTATTGTGGGACGTCTGAATTTGTGTCTATGTTCTAGGACCCGACGTAGAGTGAATATCTGGTCTATGCAACCACGTCCAGGTCGAAAACCAGCCTGGTTTTCTCTCTAGTCTGCTCTTCACGAGCTTTGGTTAGGCGTCCAAGTATTATTGAAGCTAATATTTTAAACACTATATTAGTCAAACTGATCCCTCCGTGATTGTCACAGGAGGACTTTTGTCCTTTCTTATAGACTGGCACAATCAGTGATTGAGACCAATCAGATGGAATTACGTCCAGTTCCCAGATTCTACCTAAGGCCTCAGTCAATCTCGCTGCTAGTACTGGACCACCATCCTTAAAAACCTCAGGGGTAAACTTGTCAGGGCCTGCGGCTCTCCCTCGCTTTAGATTTCCTATAGCTTTTTCAACCTCGTAGAGAGTTGGAGGACTTTGCTATTCAGGACGACTGGTGATCGTGGGTAACTGAAGGTCAGTTGAACTGATCCCTAAAGTGTTCTGCCCATCGATCCAATCTCCTGGATTGAGAATGAATGATATACCCATCTTTGTCTGAGATACTTTCGCTAATAGTTGGGTTCCTAATGCCGGTTTCTTTAATAAGTCTGAACAGCTGTCTGCTGTTACCTATTGCCGCTGCCTTTTCCATCTCTCTTGCTTTCGCTACCCACCACTGTTCACGATCATTGAGTAGGCTTCTTATTAGCCTTCGCTTAAGCTGACTCCACTCTTCGTTATGTTCAGAGCCAGGAGGGATCAGTTTTCGAGCATCTATCAGTGCGGTAGATGCTGCCGAGATCCATTGTTTCTCCCTGACCTTATGGCTTACCTTACTAGCAGATATTACAGCTTTTTCCACAGCTTTTCGGATGTCATTCCACGCTGCTTCTGGGTGGACACAACTTTCATGTCTGCCTAGCTGTTTTTCCAGTTGTTCCTGAAATATATTCTTAGCTTGCTTATCATTAAGTAGAACCCTTAGAGGCTTCCCTGCAGTGTCTTTCCTACGTCCAGTAAGTCGCAGACAGATACGTGCTCGCACTAGAGCATGATCTGAATCTAAACATGTGCCCCAGAATGAGCGACAGTCTTCTATCGAGCCCCTCCATCGGTGGCCGATAGCGATGTGATCTAATTGGGTCCAACGTTGGGACGAATTTGGGGTTCGCCATGTCAAAAGATGTTTTTCCTTATGCTTAAAGTTAGTGTTTGCAAGAAATTGGCGGTTATCTGAGCACAGCTGCAACAGACGGTCGCCATTATCTGTTCTTTTCGCCATGACACCATAAGATCCTCCCAGGTGTCTTTCCCTTTCACTTAGTTTACCTACTTGAGCATTAAAGTCACCAGCCACTATTACTACATCAGAACGTCTAGCTTTTCGGAGAAGGTCAGAAAGTTTCCTGTAAAACTCATCTTTTATATCGTTTGAGCGAGTCAGTGGGAGAGTAGGCAGAGATGACGAAGAGACAACGACGGGTTTCCCTATCTTTCCGAGTCCTTACTGATCCGTTTAGTCGGACAGCGCATAGACGACTGTCTACTGGGATCCAGTCTAAAAGAGCTAGTTTTGCCTTAGGACTTAATGCTATACCTACTCCAGCGAGGCCACGGGAAGGAACATCAGGGTTTCCAGATACACGAAGCGTGTATCGAGATGGTTCTTTATTTTGATTAGGTGAGGTCAAATGAATGACGCTACTCGGATCTTGTATGCGCGTTTCGGAGACGCAGCATACATCGATGGTGTAAGATTCTAGAGTCCTAGCTAAGGAAGCTTGTTGTCCTATTTGGCACAATGTTCGGACATTAAAAGTTCCTACATGTAGTTTAAAGCGAGGTTTCAGGAGACCAGGAATAACGTTCCGTGTACACGAATCGTTTGCCCTAGCGGTGCGAGGTGACAAAAGGACGTGGGAAGGGTTAGTCGTGGAGATAAGAGAGTTGGTAGGAGGTGTAGGAAGGATTTGAAAGTGACCAACTTGGTCTCGTGTGCTGTTACGAGTATGAGGGCATTTATCACTCCCCGGCTGCCCACACCGTGGAAAATTATTTCTTGAGGGACCTGAAAAAGAAGTTGGATTAGTGTTGGTCTGAACGACCTGGGAGCGTGACCGCAGTGCCCACGGGACAACTGCTTGAGGCCGGTCACGCACGACCTTTTTGTGTTAGCTCCGTTCTTCAAAGGACCGTACCGCCGGAGACGGAAATCCGTGGGATAAGGCGAGGTGTGCATTTTTAGGGTCGACCTTTTCTAACCCCACCCCTCCTTGTGGGAAGGCAGCATCGCTGTCATGCTGGTTGTCTGAAGGAAACACCTTACTGCCGTCACACCTCTGTACAGTCGGCAGTACGACTTCGCCTTCGGACCATGGGATTGCTGCTTTTAGTCTTACCGCTATTCAACCGACCTGTCTGGTATGGTAGGACCTCGAGGAACGATTGTTCCAGCCAGCATAGCTCGATTGCTTCATCACGATAGGCAAGCCCGACCACCACGTCAAGGTAGCAGCAACGGTCGAGACAGTCTAAATGTAGCACTAACAGTATACAACTTGTGATGCTGCTTTAAAACATTGCAGAATAGCCCTTGAATTGGTTAAGTTACACACACCAGATTACGTAAAAATAAAAAATATCATCATAAGAAATTGGTGTATGATCTGAAGCCACTTTTTCTAGTGAGGTTATTTAACTTCATAATTTCTGAAACTAAATCGTAGCTTAAAGTCTATGTGATGAAGGCCAACTGTTTAAAGTGAGACGAAAGAAATAATTAAAGCACTAATATATGAACAAAGTAATATTTTTCAACAAATTTTTTTTGGGTTCTACATTTTCATATCCAAATTAATAATTCAAAGAGTGACCACGTTTAAGAGAAGTACATCATATAAAATCATAGCACGAGAATTTGGGATTGTTCGCAAAACAAAATAAAAATTACAGGAGAACTTAAAGAGAATTTATTCGGAAGAATATCCATCATTCATATATTAGTATTTTAATATGATGGGGATTTTTAAACGAAACATTGGTTTAACTAGTAGTCGCTGAGTTCTATTGACATATTACTATTGAATATCAGACTTGTAAAGTTTTCCGGATTGTGATTCCAAAGGCATCTCATACTGTTTTCCTATTCATATGTTTAAACATGTTTTTCCTCTTCGTATATGTGGGTGCATTACCATGCAGTTAGGCATTTCTCGAAAAAGTAACCTAGACTAAATGTCGTAACTTAAACAGTCAACAAAATGAATCTTACATTTTCATGAAACACAATTGATAGTACAGCATATCTTCAAATAACTAAGTATTGTTTTATATTAACATGATAACTATAAACAACTTTGATCCAAAGAAAAAACAGTAAACTCAGTAAGATGTGATTTGCCATTCGTACTTTTCACACGGGTTTACTTTTTAAATGAAGTGGATAATCTATTTGATGCTTGATCAATAAACTCTTCATAATCAGATCATAGTAGTGTAGTGAACAGAACCGTTTCTTCTCCAATTTAATTGTTCATACAATTTCCTACCGATTGCGCTTCGTTTCAGTTCTTTCCTCATCGGTCTTCTGCCAAAATACATTCTATGTCTGACCAACATCATATACTACTTATGTGGATATAAGTAGACCACACCACAGTAGTACATCTTTGTTGAACAACCAGTCACAAGTGCTACGCCTCTTCCGTCGACCAAGGAAGCACAAAACAAAAGGCGTGAAATGTCCAGATTGCGCGAAAAATCGGATCATTTAAAAAGTCACAAAAATGACAATACACAAGCCAGATCTGCTTGAAATAAGTAAAACTACATGTACACAACCCGGACAGAAAACATTTCAGCTTAGAACTGTTGTATTCTGGTCATAAAGAAGAAAACGCCACACATACACAACGAGTTGCCCCCAAATGCCCTGGTACGGCCGAGAGTGGGGAGAGTCAGCTCTCCCTCTCGAAATACAGGTGGACAGAGCGCACTGAATAGACCGGCAGCAGTTGGACCAGACGGTGTGCCAGACGAAGTACTGGAGTCAAATATAGCAGCAACTGAAAAGATGTTCCATGTTCTATTTATGAAGATTTGAGAAGAGAGGATACCTCGTCAAAGAACCGAAGAAAGAAAATCTTCGTGGATGTGAGAACTACAGGTAAACCACATTGCTGCCAGTCTCAGACAAAATTCCAAAGTGTTGCTAAACCGAATGAAATCTTCAATGGACATCCAACTTCGAAATCAAGAAACAGTATTTCGTAAGGATCGGTCGTGCACCAACCGAATCTCAACACTATGGATCATTGTTGAGTAATCAATTGAATCAAACTCGTCACTGTAAACTTCCTTGACTATGGGGGAGGCATACCACAGTGCCGATGGGAAAACATTGTGAAACCTTCCCCGACAATATGGAGCACCTGAGATAATAATCACCAACATACGGAATTTATATAAGGGACCGAATTGTAAAGCCCTGCACGGGAGACAGCTCACATACGTATTCCAAGTAAAGACTGGGATCAGAAAAAGCTGTCTACTCTCATCTTTTCTCTTTCTACTGGTTGTTGACGGTATTATGAGACCTTCACATCTCAAGAAAAACAAAGTACAGTAGGAAGAATAGATGCAGATAAACGGTTTTGACTTTGCAGATGACCTAGTCCTTCTATTCCATACACAGCAACAAATGCAGGTGAAGACAGCCAATGTAAAGTTATTTTATTTAATCACATATATATTGATACAAAGGGCACCGGATACATATGCGCCACACAAAATAATGAGAATGGGAGGAGAAGGAAGATGTGTATATATAAAGGAAGTAAAAAAAGAAAAGGAGAAGAGTAATGATGAGGGGAACTGAAATGTACAACCAGAAGAGCTCTCTCAGTTAGGAAAGTTATAGCCACTCTTTATGAAGAAAGTAAAAGAAGGTTACAGCGGCCTCGCCACTGGCTTCTATTCTGAGCCATATCTGATTACGTTTCTAGCCACTGTGTTACACCATCTCTAAAACCCCAAACAGGGAGTCGTGACGGACCAACAGAAGCTAGCCCTCTGCAGCTTTCTTTCATGCCACGACACCGTGTCATACACTGACCTTCTCTCCGCTTTTTCCAACCAGTCCCAGAGTCGGCAAATAATGCACGACGTGGAAGTCTCTGGGACGACATTCGTAAAACATGTCCAAGCCACCGAAGTCGGTGTTTCAAGATGGTGACACCAATTGAATTATCGTCTCTGCGCTCGAACACACGATGCCGAACCTCTGCATTACTAACATTGTGTTGCCACTGAATGTCAGCAATCCTTCGGAGACAACAATGATCGAACACAGAGAGACGTCTAACATCCTCAACTCGGAGAGGCCACGTTTCACAAACATAAAACAAAACTGCTCTCACCGACGCGTTGTAGATCCGACCTTTTACAGCCAGACTAACATCACGAAGGCGCCAAAGATGGCGCAGGTTGGCATAAGCCGCTCTGACTTTCATTATAGGCTAATTGATATCACCACCAGCACTTATGTAGTTACCTAGATACACGAACTTCTCAACTACTTCAATCTGCTCACCATCTAGGGTGAGTACAGGATGAGAATCATGCCAGTCTTGTAGGAGTACCTTACACTTGGAAGGTGTAAAGGACATGCCGTACTTACAGACACTGATTGCCAACTGATTAAGTGCGGATTGCATCCCTTGGGCATTATCGCACAGTAAGACAATATCATCCGCATACTCAAGGTCGAGAATCTTTCTCCAGGCAGCAGATCCACACCGTCATTACTTACATCCATCAGAGCTGTTCCCAGAATGTCGTCGATAGAACAGTTGATGAGAAATGGTGAGATTGGGCAACCCTGCCTAACCCTACTGCTCAAATGGAACAAGGGAGAAAGGTGGTTGTATGCCCTCACTCTGCCTGAGGTGTTCGTATACAGGGCCTTTAAGATGTTAATGAACTTCTCAGGCACACCCTTCTTCAATAGACAATCCCAGAAAACAGTCCTGTCCAACGAATCGAAGGCAGCCCTGATATCAAGAAACACCACGATTGTTGGCCTGCGATAAGTATGACGGTGTTCTAACATTTGGCGGAGGGTGAAGATGTGATCAATGCATCCTCGACCAGAACGAAAACCAGCCTGCTCCTCGCGTGTCAATCGTTCTCGGGTTTTAAACAACCTACAAAGAATGATAGAAGCCAATAGTTTGGACGCAATCGGAAGTAGACTTATCCCCCGATAGTTAATACAGGAACAACGTGAACCCTTTTTAATGTAAAGTAGGCCTAGATATTTACAAGGGAAGAAGCGAGATCCTCAAAAATATGATACAACGAACATCAACCAAATCGTATTTGATGGCGAACCTCTGGATGAGGTCGAAAGCCTTACGCACCTGGTTATTATCACTGATTATCAGTGACCTGATGAGAATAACGTTAGTTAGTTAAGAGCGACATTCCTACAACTGGAGAATATCCGGAACTCAAAAGAACTCTCATCCAAGACCAAAGAATTTTCAACATTACCGTCAAAGTAGCCTTGAAACGATTACCACCACGAAAGTACAAGTATTTATAAATGACCACCTACACTAGGTACTATAGATGGTCAGAAAAAATTACTCTATCAGAAGTAAAGCTATGTGCCAATTGAGGAAGAAATTAGACAGATGTTGTGGATGAACAGAACAAAATTTGCAAAAACGAAAAGAAGCAGACCAACGCTACCAATCAGAGGCAAAAACATCAAGACCATGAATACTGATTGGCAATAAGTGGGAGGGAGGGGCCCGGACCGAGTTACTTGGAGATTTTCGGTCAGCGGCCTATGTCCAAAGAGGGGTAGCTGGCTCAAGAAATGTAATCAAAGTTTCGAAAACAAGAATCAGACCAAAATTGGAATCCATTACTAATGTTACTCAGCACGACTACTCAGCTTAGAAAACCCAAACCCTTTGCTGTATATGGTGATGTTAAAAACTAAATGACCTGGTCTAAAACTCTTAAGAAACATTGCTTGCTAACCGGAATTTTGCTGATATTATCTTACCTTGACCCCGTCAAACTCAAGTCCCTCCAAACGACTAGTAGCATTTGAATAGTCATCCACGGTGTTGAAATTGGCAAAAGCTAAACGCTTTCCAGACTTTCTGAACAGATGCAAGCGTGCAGCTGATGGTATGGCGTCTTTGAGCATTGAATAATTTATGTGTTTGGGTAGGTTGGTGATGAGTAGAGATAGACAATTCTGATTGTTTGCGCTACAATGGTCTATCAGCAATAAATAATTGGGTTTAAAATAGTATAACGTGATTTATCTTGACATATATTTAGCTTGTAAGACGTCAGGTAAAGTAATATCAACTGAACTTGGACATCTGATTTCAGCGATACCAAATGTAATTACCGATCAAACCTTATACCACCTTGAAAATGTATTCATTAAATTGAGTTTCAGAACATATGAGTTGCTATAGGAAAAAAATAACTAACTATCAAATAACCTCCACGCATTATTTTATCAAGTAATGTATGAACACATTCCTAGTAATAGTAGCACTGACGACTTGAAATTCCTTACTCAGAAGCAACGTCATTAACTGGATACACCAGATGATTGTTCACTTTTTATTTAATACTACACGATAATACATGGAATCATGAATTTTTTGATTATTAACAATGAGAGAAAACCAATGCAAATAACTTAGACATTTCATTATTTGTATAACCAACATTAACATCTAATTTCGTCTTGAAAACTACTGTAACTCCAACTTTATATAATGACCAGAATGCGATGGTGGAAACTTTTAGCTCAGACGGGTGGTTATGAAGCTCAGAAAACTAAGTTGCATCAGAATGATCAAGATAATTTGATCATAAATGTTTCGATCCTTACACCTTTCTAAAGAAATGTTTTGGTGTATTTAGCTTAACAGCTTTTCCTTAAATTTATTAACAATATATTATATTAATCCTACGTAATCCGTACCTTTACTGCTCATAATAGAATCTGGATGTTCGGACGGACGTTTTGTTACATTTTTATTTCTTGCCCGCCGAGACTTTTTCTTTGATTCTAAGCGATCGGATTCCGTAGACTGACTGTCCACCTTGAAATTAGATGTCAAAAGATTATTTTGTTCAGATTCAGTCGTTTTATCCTCAGCTGTAGAATTATTATACTTTTGCCGTTTCTTCTTTGAATGCATGCGCATAGATCCTTTTATGTCATTTTCGTTCGTACCATCTTGTCTGAAAAGCTTTCGCTCGATATTGTGAGACTTCCTTTTTTTGTTCAACTTTACCGATTCAGGATCAATCATCGACTTCATCCTACAAAACAGATGAGAGAGATGATACAAAAGTAATCTTAGAACTTACGAAAACTAGTTGTGGGCTCATTATTGCGGATAAGTTGAGACTATAATTTATGGGCCCCCAAATGCCCTGGTACGGCCGAGAGTGGGGAGAGTCTACTTTCCCTCTCGAAATGCTCTCACATGACCAGCGAATATATAGCCTCTGCCAGGGAAGTCCTACTCACTGCCTTCTCGTGGCGGGGGTGTTGTTTACGAAAGTGAGAGGACGAAAAGCGAATGTCCGGCGCTATAACCGGATTGGTGGACACGGAGGGTCCACCTAGGGGAGTTGGAAAACCCTGATTCCAAACCAATGGTGCACATGGGCTCCAGTATCCTGATGGAACGAATGGCGGAAGAACCTGCTGTTGGTCAACGGCAACCATGGGACTGCATCTCCTCACGATGCTCCACTGCCTTGTGGATCAGACCTTTAGGTCAAAGGCTCGGGGTGTGGTCCCCTAAGAAAACCACCTGCTTCGGTTTGGGCACCCGGGCAGTATCACAGCCCACACACAAACAAATGAATGAAATTATGAATTCTATTGACGATATCCCTGGTCATACTAAAAGCAAGACAATTAACATTATTATTATTATTACCTTTATTATTATTATTACTTACCATATCGCTAATTCACCCCCTTTTATCCCCAATTTGTGTAACCTTACTCTTCAACTTATGCAGCAGCTCGCCCACGGTGGAAAATCTGTCCTATCTAAACGATCTCCAGTCACTGTCTGGTTGAAAGTGAATGCTTCCACCGATTATGAATACTGAGGCAGTCTTTCTGAAACCACGTACGCCGTTCAAGCTGGCTTCCTTCAACGTTCGCACACTAATGCATATCAGACAACAGATAGGGCTGGCTATGTCTTTGGAAGGTCCTAATGTTGACGTTTGTTGTCTATCCGAGACCCGTATTCAAGACTCTAGTGAAGTACTACAAATCCGCTCTCCATCTGTCGCCTCGAAAAGCTTGTTCCACGTGCGCTTATCCGGGGACCCTGTGGCATCTTCGTCTGGTCTTGCTGGCGTTGGTGTCGCACTAAGCGCCAGAGCTGAGGCAGCACTAATCGATTGGATCCCCATTAACAGTCGGTTATGTGCTGTTAGATTAGAAAGTTCCATCAAAGTGAGAAGAAATCGGCGTGAGAAACGGTGTCTTTTCGTCATCTCCGCCTATGCCCCGACAGATTGCAGCCCGGATGCAATCAAGGATGAGTTTTACCATCAGTTAACAGTTCTTCTCCAGAAAGCGCGTTCGACAGATATTGTAGTACTAGCCGGAGACTTGAATGCACAGGTCGGGCGTCTAGGCACAGAAGAGAGTCGTCTAGGTGGCCGATGGGGACTTGTTGGTCGCCGGACAGATAACGGGGACCGTTTGCTGCAACTGTGCACAGATCACAACCTGTTTCTGGCCAGCACTAACTTCCGGCACAGTCATCGCTGGTGTGCCACCTGGCGTCCTCCCTCTGCATCCCAAGCCTGGACTCAGATTGATCACATCGCGATCAGCTACCGCTGGCGTGGTTGTGTACAAGACTGCCGCTCCTTTTGGAGTACCTATCTGGAGTCTGATCATGCCCTGGTCTGCGCCAATCTCACCTTACTTTTCAGTGGCCGAAGGATTGACCACCACCAACGGATTGATATTACTAAACTGGCTGCAACTTCTGTTGCAAGTAAGTATCGAGCTGAGCTAGCCTCTAGGCTAGCTACCACCCCACCGAAAAGTATAGACGAGCATTGGTTGCATCTTCACGACGCCATGAAAATGGCGAGTAAAGCCGCTTGCGGCTTCGCGAAACGTCCCGCTTACAAGCACTGGGTTTCTTCTGGCTCCTTACAACTGATGGAAGCCCGTCGGTCTACTCCGGGTGACCGTGAGTTTGACCACAAACGAAGGCTGTTACGTAATGAAATTGGGCAAAGCTTGTGTAAGGACCGGGAAGCCTGGTGGTCGGAGCGTGCTAATGAGATGGAAGCAGCAGCTGCATCTGGTAACTGCCGGAAGCTCTTCCAACTCATCCGAGCCACTGGCAGCAAGAAGTCTGGTGTGAGTGAAACAATCTACGAGGATGACGGGATGCCAATCACTAACATCTGTCGACGTCTTGGACGATGGGCGGAATTTTTCGAAGGGCAGTTCAACTGGCCTGCTGCTCCGGCAACATCAACCAGCTTGTCCTGCTCCCCATGGCCGGTGACGACTGATCCACCAAACGAGGCGGAAGTCCGCAAGGAACTCCAACTCTTGAAACGTTATAAATCACCTGGCCCAGATGACTTACCTCCGGCTCTTTTTAAAGATGGTGGTGACTTTCTGACAAAGGAATTGACTGTGTTGTTTGGAAAGGTTTGGGAGCAAGAAAGTGTTCCAACATCTTGGAATGAGTCAATAGTCGTCCCTATCTTTAAAAAGGGTTCATATTGTTCCTGCAATAACTATCGGGGGATAAGTCTACTTTCGATTGCGTCCAAACTATTGGCTTCTATCATTCTTCGTAGGTTGTTTAAAACCCGAGAACGATTGACACGCGAGGAGCAGGCTGGTTTTCGTTCTGGTCGAGGATGCATTGATCACATCTTCACCCTCCGCCAAATGTTAGAACACCGTCATACTTATCGCAGGCCAACAATCGTGGTGTTTCTTGATATCAGGGCGGCCTTCGATTCGTTGGACAGGACTGTTCTCTGGGATTGTCTATTGAAGAAGGGTGTGCCTGAGAAGTTCATTAACATCTTAAAGGCCCTGTATACGAACACCTCAGGCAGAGTGAGGGCATACAACCACCTTTCTCCCTTGTTCCATTCGAGCAGTGGGGTTAGGCAGGGTTGCCCGATCTCCCCATTCCTCTTCAACTTTGTCATCGACGACATCCTGGAAACAGCTCTGATGGATGTAAGTAATGGCGGTGTGGATATGTTGCCTGGAGAACGACTTCTCAACCTTGAGTATGCGGATGATATTGTCTTACTGTGCGATAATGCCCAAGGCATGCAATCAGCACTTAATCAGTTGGCAATCAGTGTCCGCAGGTACGGCATGTGCTTTGCACCCTGCAAGTGCAAAGTACTTCTACAAGACTGGCAGGATTCTCATCCTGTACTCACCCTGGATGGTGAGAAGATCGAAGTAGTTGAGAAGTTCGTGTATCTAGGTAGCTATATAAGTGCTGGTGGTGGCGTGAGTGATGAGATTGGTGCACGTATAATGAAAGCCAGAGCGGCTTATGCCAATCTGGGCCATCCTTGGCGCCTTCGTGATGTTAGTCTGGCTGTAAAAGGTCGGATCTACAACGCGTCGGTGAGAGCAGTTTTGCTCTATGCTTGTGAAACCTGGCCTCTCCGAGTTGAGGATGTTAGACGTCTCTCTGTGTTCGATCATCGTTGTCTCCGAAGGATTGCTGACATTCAGTGGCAACACAATGTTAGTAATGCAGAGGTTCGGCATCGTGTGTTCGGGCGCAGAGACGATAATTCAATTGGTGTCACCATCTTGAAACACCGACTTCGGTGGCTCGGACATGTTTTACGAATGTCGTCCCAGAGACTTCCGCGTCGTGCATTATTTGACGACCCTGGGACTGGTTGGAAAAAGCGGAGAGGAGGTCAGTGTATGACATGGTGTCGTGGCATGAAAGAGAGCTGCAAAGGGCTAGCTTCCGTTGGTCCTTCACGACTCCCTGGTTGGGGTCCGAGAGATAGTGCAACACAGTGGCTAGAGACGTTATCGGATATGGCTCAGAATAGAAGCCAGTGGCGATCCTGCTGCAACCTTCTTTTACTTTCTACATAAAGAATGGTTCTAACTTTCCTAACTAAAAGAATCTTCTGGTTGTACATTTCAGCCCGCCTTATCTTTTCATCCTTTATCTACCTACTTTCATTATTTTGTGTGGCGCATATGTACCTGGTGCCCTTTTGTACCAATATATATATGTGTTTAAATAAATAAATAAAAATAATTTATGGGCAAACCAACAAAACCAAAAGTAGCAAGTCCGGAGTTTCGACACGTTATTCATTTATTCATATGGTAAAATAGCATTTTGCCATTACAGATCATGTAAGTTCCTGATAAAATACCTAACTCCTAGTCCCTTACACTGATTTGTAGCTCTTTTTGACCCTAGTAAGGTAGTATTCCCCAAAGTCTAATGAATATCCATTCGCTAAACTGAAAACCCAAGTTTAAAATTATCATACCTCGGTGCAAGAAGAGTTAATAAACAATATTACAAGAAAGTGAGGCTGTCTTAACCGAGTAATATATCTGAGAGGATACATTAGGCCAGTACTCAGAAATAGATCTCATCAAGACCGAGTCACCGTACATAGACAATGCACGGAGGAGTCAACATTATATTGCAACTACAACAAAACTAGTTGAAAAACGTTTATTAGAAGTGCTGACAGTATGTGCATGGGATCACTGAAGGGTCAAATAATCAGTCTCAAGATCTATGAGAATAAGTCCGAGTGAATCTAGAGAACAAAGGAATAAATTCAGGTGTAGCAGCTGAACAAATAGACCCAAAGGTATTAGCATTATTGTTGCTCGTTAAATTTTTCAATGAGTGTTGACTGAACTATTACAATGCAAACTGATAATTAGATGTGATTCCGGGAGTGCACTCCAGAGAAAAGTAGACAACTAAGCGACATTTAAAACATGGAGCGACGTAAAGGTGAATAACTGCATTACTTCCCCAGAACAGGAGAAGCAGACATATTGGCGCGTTCCATTATTATTTTCCAACGCATTTTCCCCTCTATTGATTGCTTGGGTGGGTGTCAAGATGAACAGATATCGCAAGAAAATTTCAGTCTTAAATTATTGTCACTTGATATGTTCATATAAAAATTTCAATACATACACCACCTATCCTCACCCAATAGATATCCCTACGCATAACTTTCAACTTACAAACAGACAAGTATATCGCTGCACGCGAACGAATCACAGCAAGTGTCGAGAATGTCAAGCAGGCGCTTATTATCAGTCAATAATAAAACAGGCGTGGTCAAACAACTTCCCTTTCAGTGGCATTAGCAACCTAGGTTACAAAAAAACACAATCAACTACATCTTGGTGGCTGTCAATATGCATTGAAAAGAACAAACATTATTCAGATGTCCATTCCTGAACTCCTTGCATTCAACTGGGGACCGCTCAATATTTATCGCTAGGATCGATCAAAAAAGAGGAAAAGGAAACTTTTTGAATTATTTTGTGCTGAGAACTCTATATCGTACCGAAAATATAATATTGAATAAAGCCATCAATATTAATCAAACAAAGTTCTCGTATATTGTCCAGAACCCAGCTCGAATTCAAAGTATTAAGGGAATGATGAAATACCAAGTCTGAGGTTTTCTTGTATGTGTAAGGTGTTTTCAAAGTGTTTAAGGAGATCTATTTCTACGATATGGAGTAAGATTTTATTGATCGTATGCTTATTATGGGCATTTCATAATAATTGCATCGGCAAATTCATGTTTCTTCGCTCAATGTACGGGGCTTCTAAATTTTCCTTCTTTGCGTTTACCGTCTTAGCCAACATCAAGGGAATAAAGAGACAGTGTTAGATAACCTTTCTCATATTGTTTGTCTCTGAGCTACTTCATTACATCTGTGCCCTCAAACTCCTGAATGTGATTTATCATGGAAATATGTTTTGGGAACGAATGTACACGTAATGATGATCATCTCTTTTACCTAAACTATCGATCCTGTCAGTATATGTTTGCGAAGCGTCTGAAGATGCCACAAGTATTTGGAGTTTGACAACGTCTTAACCAGTAACATCTATAATCAAAATGTGTCCACCCAATAAAACCAAAAGTCAGAAGCGAAGGCGTTCGAATATATATTTGATAGGCTATCAATATATCGAGAAGTGAATGATTTGAACTTGCTACTGGTCGTAGGAGAAGTTGAGCGCAGCGTTCCCACTAGTGATCTGGATGCGGATGAGTGACCGAGCGCCTTCAGCCAGGTGAGTTCATCAAAACCAATGTGACCAACATTAAATGTTAAAGACTTACAGAGCTAATGATTTTGGGGATTTATTTACCGCTACTCGTCCATTAGAGGCACAAATTATAAAGTTTGGCGGTTGTGATATATGAATTCCTTTATTACACAACTTGTTCCCATCATCATTTGCATTTATCTATAAGTTTACATTTACCGAAAATACTCAGTTTAGTGTGTGCAGTTCATGTAAAGGAAGACATGACACTCGACAACCGATGTTTGTTGCTTTCGTCTATTACAATTCCAGATAGCAGAATGTATATGAATTGTTACACCTTGCCGAAGGATAAACAACATTGTTTGCTACCAGGCAGTAAATTTTAGTGTCATATTGTTGGTTGTTCAGTAATTTGAATAGGCACGTACATCATCATAAACTCCAGTTACTTTCCTAAATGCATCGGTAGATCCATCCGTTTAAGTGGTATCACTAACTGATAGCTTCTGCAAAGTGTTTACTTTGCTAGAAGCGTAATTTCAAGATACAAGGCAATGAAAATCTGTGTATGTCAACATGGAAAACAATGGAAGAGAGCTATAATTTAAGCTTCCTATTATATTAGACCACAAACGCTTCTGCTACTCGACAGTGTGTGTATTTATAATGAAGTAGTCTATGTGTGTGATACAACACCTGAATAACACCCATAGCATTTGGAAAGATATCGGCCTGCATAATTGTTCATATATCGGTAGTCGGATTAGATGCAAATATTTTATTATCAAACGCTATTGCGATATTAAATAGGATGAAAGAGCATAATGCAAACACAACCCAACTGTCCCGTTCGAAATGCTTCTAATAATGATTAAAGGTACTCATCTTAAGCACACCTATAGTTTTCTTGACCATGTGCCCTGAATGACCCTCAAAGAACTAGTGTTGTGGAAACGACAACTTAGAAAACGAGTAATAAGAGAGGTTTCACTTCTGTCTCGTCCTACAAATAGCAGCTGTTTAGAATTCGTATTGTGGTGTATGCTAATGATGTTGACAGATATAAGTAGTATTTATCATAAATCGAAAGTGAAATGCCTGGCCTCAAAAGGTTAAGAAGATTGAAGAAAGGCGAACAGGAACAGAGAATGACTAGTGCGGAAACGAAAGAACAAACAAGTCTGAGACGGCTAACTGACATTATACAAGTGAAGTATGTATTCTATCGTTCACATATTTTGCTAAGTGATTCTGTAGTTTTGTATTCCAATACGTTTGATCGTTCCCGAATGTGTTCTTGTTCACTACAGTATCATAACCAGTTACAGTAGTCGAAACCCCAACTATCAATATGCAAACACCCTGTCCTCTTATACCGACTCCTTTGTAATGATGTGGAAAACAAATATTTGTTAAAAGTATCTTAATTATACATGCCGATTGATAATTGAGAATTTAAATAATCACTGATTGGAATACAACAGAATGCGAAGCACGTGACAATACAATTTCGATTGATAATTCAGATTGATGTCATGAGGAATCCTGGACTAGCGAACCGTTAAAAGACCAACTTCTTACCTGCTTTGAGTATTCGCTCTCAATAATCTTCAATCTCTTCACTTGCATATGTTTAGTGCATGCAGTCTACAAGGCAGCCGAACTGCCCTCGTCTGACGAGTTGAAATTCATTACACGCTCTAAGGAACACAACTTAAGCAACAAAATTGTGTTCAGTATCAGCTATCTAAACTCTTCACTCACATCAAATGAAACCTTTAAGAAGCTAGACAATCTCCTAGTGGCATAGACAGTCTTTGGAATTGTATATCATTGTATTTACTGATATAGCACTGTTTTGGAAATTAATACGATTTTCAACGAACAAGGTATAGCAGATTTCCAATAGACAGTCACTCAGAAACAAGGGCAATGTTTGTACTAAAAGAGGTCAATAACACAATTATATTAGACGCATTTGTCTTAGGTTTTCAGACGTCAACAGACTGACTAACTGTGAGGACACTACAAATTAATGGAAGTTTACACAAGCTCAACCATCAGTGAGCATTTCAAATACGGAATGCTTACCCTGAATAAGGACATTCAATATTGAAGAGACCGATATGACATGGAATTATTTTTTGACCTATACCCATATTGGGTACATGGATTTCTCTTCGTCTAATATTCTGATTCATTCGTGACTATAAGAGTACGATTTTGACATTTCTGCTAGTTACTAGTTAGCATACCGAATTCAACTACCTCTGATTATCATTATTTTTAAGAACTAAATTATAGTGGCAAACAATAAATGATATGTGTCACCTTTGATGCATTTTAGGTAGACAGTTATTTTCCAAAATTCCGGATTAAAGCATATTCTAGCAAGTCGGGATAGCCCTTGGACTACTCAGGGAAGCAAAAATCAGAAATGTGTCAGTTTATTAGGTTCAAAGTTATGAAAATATGTCAGGAACTAGTCACCTAAAAAATGCATACCCGTCTCAGTACTTTTGTAAAAGAACCAAAATCTCGTTGTTTTGATTGATTTTAATCTATTTTTTGTGGAATAATGCCTATAAATTGTATGACGACTCAACACTGGAAGTTTTATACAAAATGTTTCAGGAAGCATATTTCAGACTGAGTTAGTAGACCGCAATCACAAAGTCCATGAATCAAAGGGAAGTACGAATTGTGCAAAGTCCTGGTTGTGAGGTTGTAGTGACCTACTTTTATGACGAGAACGCGATTGGTATAATGGAAACAATTGTCATTATAAAAAATTGTACAAGTGATTGTTTTACTGTACTTGTTTGTTTAACAGTACCAAAGACACTTTTCCTTCCGTTGCCTGTGACCTAGCACGAACTTGCCTACTCTCGGCAGTTCCGCCCGTAAACTTTGGCACGTCTCGGTATCCATTCGATACCACGAGATCGCCGACAAATATATCTTATTCGGAACATTAACAGCCCTCTGGCTTTTGGCGTACCGAGGGATCCACGTCGATACCTGGCACGTAATCTCCATGTGGTGGTGATCATAGTCAGCCGCGACCCGATACCCATCTACAAGGTGATCGAATGTTTTGATAAGTGGATTGCTTTAAGGATCAATCATAACATTCGTGGTATGAGTTGATGATCAATCGTATAGCAGTGACCATATAATATAATGATCCATAGCCATATATCATACTTCAGGTTGAGAAGACTATAACTTTGAAGATTTAAACAAGCCGTTGAATATTTGGCAGAAAAAATTAAATTTCAGTGAAGGTCAACATGGAAACGTTCCCTGAGGGTTCATGTCTCGGTCAAGCGTTAGTAATCACAGCACGTTGAACAGTTTTCCGCTCGTCATCATGGTCGAAGGAATACAGCGCTAACCACTAAATTTGCACATCATGAACAGTCACATGCACGATGTCCCCACTCTGTTTATTGTACCTATTCTTACCGATACGATATGGTAATAACGTTATGTTCGACCTTGATGGCGATCGCGAAACTGTTACACATGCGATGATCGGACAACTGAACAATCTGATTAAGACACAGTGACGTCTTACCGGCTCCACGATCACTCCCTAACTCACTCATATTTGTACTTATCATCTTATTCTATCAGTAAGCTATGCGACTTAGTATAACAATGAGAGGAATCAGCATAGACGATGAAGCTTCGACGTAAGGTCTTATATATTAGGGAGTCACATGATGGAATGCTCAAAATCTTAAGGTTTATTATTTAAGCAACGTGGACATACTTACTTATACTCATCTTGCTTTTACATCTCACAAATGTAGGGATGAAAGAATAAAACATTGTACGAAAAGATGAGTAGGTTTGCACAATGTGGGTCAGTACGCTAATAGTCACACCTATGTGGAAAATGTATATAGGCAAAAAAGGATAATTATTCACATGAATATACACGAAACACATATATAGATCAGTATAAAACACCGCATGTTTTCGCACTTTGAACCAGAAAAAAAGTGCAGAAATTTATACCATGGCTTTTAACAAGAGACTTTTGTGCGCTGTTTCTTTTAAGAATATAGAATCAATAAATTAAGATGTTACTCCTCGAAACATCCTGACTCACTCTAACATTGTGGAAGGGTGTTCCGTTTCTTCAGTGCCCTCAACAAATATCTGAAGTCTCACCAGATAGGTATGCGTTTAGACCCGAATAAATGACAACAGACAAGTTAAGAACATTACGTTGAAAGCCTCGACTCCACCACACATCTACATTGCTGTCGCCACCAACACTGGGACCGACAAGTGTGGACACACTAACACCTAGCTTTCGATATCCCACTATAACGATACAATCAGTTTAGCAGGTCATTTAGGTAGGGTTGTTGTCACTTGCTCTACAACCTCACTAAATAATTACTTCTCACACGAACCTACTGTAACCTGATGACTAATATCCTACTGAAGTCCTACAGCAGTGGAAATGTTTTTGTAAAAACAGGTCGCGGAAATGCTATGATTATGAGTCATAGTCAGGCAGCCGTGTACCAAGTCAACGTCGAAGATTGATAAATTCTGATTGTCTAATTTCAACGTCAACCGATGGTGAAATACAACTCAACATCAAGTGAGCAGTTTTCCGATGTTGTGATCCATTCAACATAACAGGCCAATTTGATTGAGGCTCAGTATCTTTCCATTCAATAGAGCTTTCAAATATCAGATTGAACTAGGCATTACCACAAATTACAGAACATCATGGTCGAGACAGTCTCGTTGTTTTCTGTCTTGAGTGATTCATTGTTTTAAGTTACTCAGGCTCTTCAAGTGAGACCCTTATATATCCCGTTAATATTTGGTCGGAAGCAGTTGGCTTACTTCCTATGCCAGTTTATAAAGGCCAAAAAATTTGTGAAACAAGAATAGTTGTAAGTACTAAATTAAATTGCTAAGTAAAGAGCTCAAACACAAATACTTCATTCTTCATAGTCTGGTATTACACTTGGCTTACTGTTCAAAAGGTACGACTTGCTCCATGCTGATAATAAACTCAGTGATACCACAAGAACCAAATTAGTCTTGAGAGAACTTTGTACCGCATAACATGGGATCTACGGCCAATGATGCATTCCAAGAAATCCAGAGGATATGTCATGAAGATGCATTAGGAACTTGTTCGAAACCCTTGGAAAATAATCATCCTTGTCTAACTACCATCATCAACACATACAGATACCCAAATGATCAGGGGTCACCTGAATACAATATATAGGAATTGGTCAGTTGACGAGCAATTTATAAGCAAAGCAACTTGTTTAAGGAAGCCGCAGAGATGGAAAAGGCTTAAAAGAAAAACAAGTATCCTCTGATAACCCAAGGGCCAAGCTCATTATAATAAATGGAAATCCTGCAGAACTTTCATTGTTGACTATTTTGGTTGTCTGTTCGTGTTTCATGTATAGTGAACAAAATGTTGTTAAATCTCTTCGGAAACATTAAAATGCGGAAGGGACTATAAATTACCAATTATACATTCAAAGTATCCAGGAACCAAGAAAACCGTAGGATTATTCAGTGTTCTTCAAGACACTTCAAAAGATCTGAAATCAACAGAACGAGTAGTCATATAAATCTATTGATTTTCTTACACGAACGAAACACGAGAGGGAGTAGGGCTTCTTTTTCCGGTGTTCGAAATGAGATTTCTGATTATTATGAAATCAGCACCTAAACATATCAGTAAAAGGTTACACAATGTCGACAAATGAATCCCCTATACATGTATTAGTAATAATACACTAAGTTACCAGGTCTCCCTAGATCGCAGATTGAAACCTTGGATTTTAGTTTCTCCATAAGCATAGCATTTTGTAAATCGTTTGGTAGCCATGTGTTTCGAACAATCCGTACATTCACAAGTGACAGGTACTCGTCAGAGAGTCAAATGAGGGTTCAATATACTTAGTACAGATGTGCAAGCATACGAAGCCAAGGTGCGGATAAGGAAAAAGCATTCTAGGATAACAGCCCAGCTTAATGATGGAACTTCCGTTAGTTAACATTATTGAGGATGATGAGAATCCTTTAAAGTGAACACGTAAGACTTTCAAAATAATCTTTGTTAAATCAATATATGACTTTGTACAAATAATAAGGTTGTTTTTTACTCTAATCAGTATAATTCCTCCAGTGTATTACTACTAAAATCGTCCGTAAAACAGATGTTGAAAAAAATCCTGTCTCCACTGTTTATCCACCATCTAAAATGAAAAATAATAATATAGATATTTTTTATAGGTATCATTACCAAGTTTTGATTTGATAATTTTGAATAAATTGAGCATTGGGTGGATTGTTATAAATAAATTAATATATTTGTAATATCCCAATGAGTAGAAAAATTAGATTTTCTGACGTTTCGTGACTTAGTGTAAGCCACTTCTTCAGAGAACAAATAACCAAAGTAACATTAATCCAAGTTTAAATAGTACAACGGAACAATCCAAGAATATTAGGTGATCAATCAAAAAACAGGTCTGAATAGATCGATGTCATGTCATTTCGGTTAAAGTGATTCATAAGGGATATGTATGTAATTTTGTGTGTATGTATGCATTGTTAATGACGAAAAATGTGTGACCTTTGTAATGACAAAGGATAGAGTTTAATTTGTAATGTAATGGTGTGAGATTGTAAATAATATTAGACTGGTTGACTAGGATAGATAATCCAAGTGGGATGTATGGTAAGGCTGTGGAGATAGAATCTTAAAACCTATTTTGTAAATAATTTTTCATAGTTTTCGCATGTATTTTCATATTCTGTACATTAAGCATTAAACAATTGTACTTGTTGTTTAAGTGTATTACTTTGAACGCTTGTAACTCGACTTCATTCCGTTTTGAGTACAACATATCGTGACACTGTTAATTCTCCTCAACAAATACACTCTAATTCACATCTGCATCGTTCTGCCATGTCTGCTAATATGTTGAATGAAATATTAATTGCATACCATCTACGTTTATAGACAACTGCGACATTCTTATTGAATTCTACGCTTGGTAAACCTACTGGATCTATATCGTCCATATTGGGATTACTAATTTTTTATAATTGTGGATTATTTGGACCAAACCCAGCCGAACACGCAATAGCCTGAAGACTTAAGTAACGTCCCTTATTTCGTTATTTGTGTGTGTAATTAACTTATTAACTGTTAATTGTTACATAAACTATAGACATAATATTTTTGTTGCTAATTTTTGGTTATCATACATTTTGGTCCACCACAAGGCCTTCTTTTCTATTGAGGGCAGTGGGATTAAGCATTATATGGAAAGCTTCAGCTACTCTTCTTTCTTTGTGATTGGAAAAACCTTTCTGTAGTATTTTGATGTTTTTGAAATCAATTTGATGATTATTGAGAATGGCATGAACCGCTAACGCCGATTTAATTTGAAGTCTATCTAGTTCTACAGGATTATTAGGTTTCTTTGTGTACCTAATATTTTCTTTGGTGCGAGTCATGATTTCGCGAGATGACTCTCCAATATAGAAGGCATCACAGTCGACACAACCTAATTTGTAGACGCAGTTCTGTGTAGACATGAATGGTATCTTTTCTTTTAATCGAACTAAAGTATTTCGAAGAGTGTTCGTTGTTTTGTAATATACTTTAATTCTGTGTTGTTTTAAGATTCTTTGGAGTTCTTCAGTTGTACCATGACGGTATGGTAAAACTGCAGTACCAATCCATGGCATTTCATTCGAATTATTGTTATTATTACGTGCTGAATTGTCTTGTTTTAATAAGCTTCTGATAATCTTCATCGGAAAATTATTAAATTGTAAGATGCTAATTATATTCTTTTGTTCTTTTAGTTTGTCCTCTTCTGAAGTGATGATTTTATTGGCTCTTCTAAAAAGATTTAAGGCTAACGAAATTTTAGCATTGAAAGGATATGCTGAATGGAAGTCGATGTAACGATTAGAGTGTGTAGGCTTTCGGTAGATGGATACATTTAGAACTCCATTTATATTTCTTTTCACTAAACAATCTAAGAACGGAAGCTCACCATGTTCATTTTCATTCGTGAATTTTATATGAGATGAAAGTGTATTTATCTGTTTTGAAAATGATCTTAGATGCGTCTTTTTTATCACTACAAATGTGTCATCTACATATCTAAGCCAAATTCGTGGTTTAATGTGGTTGGTGAAAATCTTTGATTCTATGTGTATCATAAAAAGGTTGGCAACAATCGGGGACACAGGGGAACCCATCGCTACACCATTTGTTTGTCTGTATAGCGTTCCGTTGAAAATTACATACATATCCCTTATGAATCACTTTAACCGAAATGACATGACATCGATCTATTCAGACCTGTTTTTTGATTGATCACCTAATATTCTTGGATTGTTCCGTTGTACTATTTAAACTTGGATTAATGTTACTTTGGTTATTTGTTCTCTGAAGAAGTGGCTTACACTAAGTCACGAAACGTCAGAAAATCTAATTTTTCTACTCATTGGGATATTACAAATATATTAATTTATTTATAATATAGATATTTGTCATTAAAAGCGGATATCAGTTACAGAACTATGAAAAACGAAAGAACAATCAACAAACGTAACATTTTGTAGAGGTTCTTCGGTAGGGTGCGAACTTATGCAAATCCATTATTTAAATAGTATTCACAGACCAAATTCAATAGTTTTTAACGAGGTATAAATTATTTCGCGAGCAGAACACTTATCAACCGATGAATAACTGTCACACTAAATGACCATTTAACAAAAGCCGAAAGCAAGGTACGCTAGACTTTTATTTAATAGTTCGAAGGTACTACGCCGGTTACTATGTCCAGAAGTCTTGAGTTTGATCTCATCTCGAGTTGTGGTTGCAAACAAATGAAGAGTTATACAGATAAAACAGCCGTCCAGTGATCTCTAATTTTTAAAGGTTTTTCTTGGGTAATATCAGTTCGTGTCTAAAGCTATCATCAAATTACATAAAGCATTAATTGGAAAGAAAATATGATACTTCAAAGAGCAGAGCATTCATATGCAATCCTTAGCAAACAAAATTAATAAAAAGGATCCTATTAATTAAATGATCACATTTAAACAAGATATTGCGGATTTCATTACATTAGAATACACAGAAATCACTGTTCCAATCAATATAAATAAATCTTAGTGTTTTGACAAACAGAATGTGTTTGCCCCAAATGTCTGAAAAAGTCATTAAATAGGAATAATATATTTGTAAAATCTCAGCGAATGAAGTCGAAAGTGTTTTTAATAGTTTTAACTTGACAATGATTTACAGTACTTTAAGATTATACATTTGTGAATAATTTTTATAAACCAATGAAAAAAAATATTAACAACTTACCAGATTCAAATACTAACTTCTTGGGAAAGGATGAAGATACATTCCCACATTTCTCCATATTCAATTTTATTCCATTTTCATGGAGTTCATCTGTAGTAATATTAAATTCAAAAAATCTTATTACAAATTTGTAGTGTTGTTAAAAATGAGTATTCGCATACACAAAGGGGGTCCATGAAGGACTTATCTACACTCCAAATAAAAGACATGATTAAGTTAACTGCTCTACGAGGTTTTGATTTCGGACCAGGCCGATATATAGTCGAGATAACCTTATTAGACAATTATTATTGTTGCTGAGCTAATGAGCCTGGATTATTTAGCCTGTGTAATTTTAATTTAAAAATGGAAAAAAAGTTATGTTTTTGCTTAATTGTTACATACTGCGGGGATGCTAGATCCCCAGAACTTACTATTTTTGTAATTTAATTATGGGAACATGGATTTCCCGTTCTCGCGCCAAAAATGTACATTCAGTTTGTGTTTACCATATGGAAGGACCTTGAAGATCATTAGTTGAGTTCATCGTTCAGTATGCTATTTTTTGACGCTTTCAAGAACATTTTTGTACTATATATATACGCGTGAGTTGTGTGCTTGATGTTCGTTCTTCCGGGTTGCTTATTGAGTTACCGATTTCCCCAGCTCAATCTAGTCTTCTAGCTAGCAGGGATAGGTCGCAGTGGAATAGCTTAGCTTGTTTTAGAAGGTTCCACTGAGTTTTGATTGGATTTCTTAGGTACCATTAGAGCCTCTGTAGGCCTTGTCGCGCTTCCTGAGAGCCCCATCAACATAAATGATTATTCATAGTCACAGGTTACATCTTGGCTTAAAATAAGTACAGGATTCACATAAGATGAAATAATTGAATAGGCTTATGAAGAGTACGATCACATCGCTAGCCGGAAGTTCTCAAAAGTGTCCAGTTTTTTATCAGTGCATATGGGAAGAAATACTGAATCAGCACTATGTTTTGTAGGCGTTTACATATTAATATCAAGTATTTTGAGAATATTTAATCTTGAGTCAATTATTATTATAAAATGCATTAAACATGCACTACCGATGTATAAACCAATATTATCGACTATTCGCACATATTATTATTTATTTATTATTAATGGCTTTATTCAATATTATATTTTAGCACAGTATAGAATTCTCAGCACGAGTTATTTCAACAAGTTTTTTTACCAAAATAAAACAGAAAAGAAATAAAAAAGGTTAAAAAAATCTGAGTCTGCACGAATCATAAAATTTGAGACATGCTTAAGAATACAGGTTATCTACTAAGTCAACTCTAACAGCCTGTTCGTCACAAAGTATGTTTGCTAGGTAAGGTATTACAGAACTTTTATAGATCTGTTTGCGTGTATGGATTTCAATGTATTTACATCTTGTCTTACATGAAGATATACAAGGAAAAAGATATGAATGAAGTGGATGGTTAGTATCTGATAAGATAACACCTGCCAAGAGTTTGCAAGACTTAGGATTTCTGTCCACAACAACATTATTAATGACCTCAAAAGATTCACCACACACCTTGTAAACTGCCTTCAACACTCTCCGCAAAACAGCAAAGTCTTTTCTCAAAAGCCCGGGAAAGAATAAGTAATATGCAAAAATTTACAAATTGTAAGAGTAAATGGCGAGTAATCCCAAAAGCATGCAGCCTCTTTATGTAGTAAGTCAAACGGTAAGCTTTTTCGATAACAGTAAAACATGAGAAGACCAAGAGAGATCAGAGGAAAAAGTAACACCAAGATATTTGACCTTCGACACTGTGTTTATCAAGGAGTCTCCAATGGCACAAGCATTATGGGATCCCAAAATAGTGTATAGGTTCTGTCCATGTCTCAGGCTAAAGTTAACAGCCTGACGTTTGGATGGATTAAGAGACCATTATCAACAGACCACCATTCAATACGAGATAAAAACTCGTTCATTTCTATGGGATGTAAGGAGGTAGAAATCGGCATACATACAGTGAGGTCGTTCAGATATTTCACAAAAGCGTTTTCTGTAGAAGATGGAAGATCATGCAGGAAAAAAGGAGAGGTGAAAGAACAGCTCCTTGTGGCACACCTACAGTAGAGATGTTGAACACTTTCATTCAAACACAGTGTACTGTTCTATTCCAGAAAGGTAGGAACATAGCCGATCGGTTATCCAGCTGTCAGTGTTGACGCTGATCAGCTTGTTAAGTAATAGGTGTCTTGGAATAGAATCAAAAGCAGAAGTAAAGTCCAGGAAAGCGCATCGAACATACTTCTTACCCTTTTCCAACCCGAACACTACATTGTGATGCGAAATAGCAAAGGCATCTAATGTGCTTCTTTTGCATTTGTAAGTAAACTGATACGAATCACTGTGCTCTTTTATTGCAGGTTGAAGTGGGAGTATCAATAATTTTTCCATTATTTTGAGGAAAGGTGAAGTTATTGCTATGGGTCTAAATCTGACATTTTTATCGCGAGATACTTCCTTAGATATAGGGATTATCTTTATCTTTCACCACATTTATGGTATGAGATTAGTTGAGAAGGATCTGTTAAAGATAGTCTTGAAAGAATAACATAGAACGTCAGCACATTTTTAAAAAAGTAGCTTTGGGATACAATCATGTCCTAAACATTGGGATGAACTAAGTGACTGGAGACATTTTCGGACATCATTTTCAGTGAAACTGGGAACACAATTATTCTTCGAACCTGTGGATATAGGGAACATGATGTCAGATGACTGACGTACAAAAGACTTATTTAAGTCACAAACATTCAGCTGCTTATCGCTTCTAGTCTGCCTATCCCCAGTAATTTCTTTAAAGAGTTTCCACATACTTACAAGATAGGAGTTTCTGAGTAAACATAGAGTTGAGACGTCTAATCTCTAGGTTTATTTGACCATTTAACTTACGAACTTCAATAGTGTTTTCCTCCTTGTACATTCTTTCTTTTTCCCTCCGTAGTCGTTTTAGTTATGGAGATGTAAGTCGATCAGAACTTAAAAAGAGGGTTTCGGGAGGACGGCAAATATCAAAACAGAATTTAAGATAACAGGTGATAACGTCAGTGGTGTTTTCTAGTAAGTCATCTGTGAATAATTCCCAGTTAGTCGTACGAAACATGTTTTTCAGATTTTGTATATTTTCTTCTGAGTAATTCCTACATATGACTTTTTTGGTCTGGTGCAAGTGTATACTCTTTCCATGTTTACCATATACTTTAGGTAGAATGCGAATTATACAGTGATCCGAGCTAGACAATGGAGCACGTTTGCGAGTCACATGTGTACCCACATCATTAATGAAAACCAAGTCTAGATGAGCATTCAAACGAGTAGGAAAATCTACTACATTTAGGTGATCTAGTGATGTAAAGAAGCTACAGTCACATGAATTGAAATCACCACATACAATTGAAAGTGAACCACTGAAGGCAGTAACGACGAATTCAGCAAATTTATCAGCGAAGACAGATAGCGCAGATGATGTGCAGTCTGGAGCCATGTAGATGTTAGTAACGTAAACACAGGTGTTTTGAATGGCGTCTTAAAGTCAGACAGCCGATAAAGTCATTTTAAAATTCGAAACAAGCAAAAGTAGATTGACACCGGTTAACGTTTACAAACTTAGCTATACCGCCACCACACCTCCTTTTATTGCTTGGTCGATCCTGACGATAGATATTGAAATCACGTAGTGATACTAAGCAATCGTCCTGTAGATCAGTTAACCAAGACTCATAAGTTCTGATGACGCCTCAATTACGATATATGTTTGACTTAGTATGAATTGGAGATAGTCCACCTCATTAATTAGTGATCGGTAGTTAGAATTTAGCAGCTCGGGAATCGACATTGATTAGTGTTTATTCTATAAAATGCATATTGCCAAGCACCACGATGTTTCTTATTGTAATTTTTGCAGCGAAAGGACATAAGCTTTTCACAAACGCGTCTGTATAGGTTATGCGATTAATAGACATAATGAGGTGTTTAGATAAAATTAATAAAACAGACAACTTGTTGAAATAGTTAAATGGCAGAAACAGGTAGCCCAGATATCAAGCGGCCCCCAACGAAATTAGTAATAAGCCTGTTTGCCAATTTTCCGCCTCGCATTTTTGAGATTTATGGTTCGCATTATAGCTGGTAGTTACTACTCCTTGCAGGTGGCCTGTGCAGTAACAGAATTCAATTTAATGTGGATTGAGTATGAAGAGCTCTTAATAAGGCTAGTGATTGTTTTTGGTTACACATTGGACAAATTTTTCTAACAGTAGGCGCCAAAATTGAAAGTTCCAGTGATTTTATTCTAACTACCTTTCTATTTATAGAACACAACAACAATCACTGGAGGTTAACAAACGTGTTTCGTGGTATCAGGCCCGCTCCAGATTCGATGGACGTACAAAGCACTTTATAAATAGTGTGTGACTTTCCGCACAACAAATGATTACTAGAGGATTAAAATGAAGGCCACAAACTAATCACTGATCTTCCACTTTTGTACATAAAAAATCAGTGAGTTCGAATAAATCCGAGTGAAATTAATAAGCTTTATTGAAGATGCAGCAAAAAAATTAAAGTTCCTGTAGCTTTTTCTTCTATTCTACATTTAAGAACTTATTCGGAAATGTATTGAACAAGGAACTATCTCATATTCATGTACCCTACAACTATCAAGGAGTGAGTCTACTTACACTGGATCCAAACTATTAGCTTCTGTCATTCATCGCAGACTGTCCAAAACCTGTGAAAAATTGGCACATAAGGAGCATGCAGGCAGACATACTGATCACGTCCACGCCTACTACCAAATATTAAACCACATCCACACCTATAGTAGACCGAAAATCTTTATACTTCTTGATATCGGTTCCGCCCTTAATTCATTGGGATCGACTTTTGAAAAGAGCGCCTGAGAAGTTTCCTGAAGACTCTGTACACAAACAAGAAGAGTGGGTACATACAAACACCTCTTCCCTTTGTCCTATTCGAGCATCGGAATTAGGCAGGACTGCTCGATCTTCCCAATTCCTATCTAAACTTTCCACAGACAGCATTCTGGAAAGTCATGGTGGAGTGGATTTGATGCCTGGAAAAAGACTTTCCGATTGTGAGTATGCGGATGATATTATCTATCTGTGCGATGATACGAATGAAATGCAAATCGTAATTGATCGGTCGGCAATAAGTGTCTGCATTTATGGTGTGTATTTTCCACCTGCTAAATGCAAATTACTTTTACAGAAATAACAAGAACCAGTGCCAACATTCACTCTTTATGGTGAGCTGTTGGAAGTGATGGAAAAGTTCGTTCATTTGGAGAGTTGTGTGAGTGCTGATGGTGACGTGACTGGTGAGGTCGATTTACATATGGTAAAAGTCTGGCCGGATGCGATCAAGAATGAGTTTTAGCACAAATTATCTGTCCTTCTACAAAAAGTGGGTTCGACAGATATTGTGGTGCTAGCCGGAGACTTCAATACTCAGGTCAGGCATTAAATAAATATGCGCCACACAATAACAATGAGGCCAGTAGTAGTTATCAGTGATTTGTGTGAGGGTTGTGATGATATACAATGAAATACTGTAAAGCTTGCGTAAGAACCAAGAAGCCAGGTGGTTAGAGCGTGCTAATGAGTTGGAAGCAGCAGCCGTGCCCAATAACCACTGGAAGCTCTTTCAACCCATTCGAGTTGCCGGCAGCAAGAAGTTTGGTGTGAGCGAAACAATTTGTAAAAGATGACAGGATGTCAATCAATCAACCTATCGATGTCCTGGAAGATGAGCAGTTTTTTGAGGGACATTTCAAATGGTCTGCCGCCGCGGAAACATTGATCAGACTGTGACGACAGATCCACCTAACAAGGCGGGATTCCGAAAGAAACTCGAACACCTGTAGTGCCACAAATCATAAGGCCCAGATAACTTACCTCCGGCCCACTATAAAGACGGTGGCGACTTCCTAGTTAAAGAACTGACTGAAATGTTCACAAAGGCCAGGCAATAAGAGTGTTACAAATTATGCAATGAGTCGATAGTTGTCCATGTCTTTAAAAGGGGTTCATGTCACCTATGCAACAATTATTGGGGAATAAGTCCACCTCCCATTGCGTCCAAATTATTGGCTTCCGTTATACTTCGTAGATTATTCAAAATCCAGTAAAAATTGAATCACGAGGAGCAGGCTGGTTTTCTCTGGTCGAAGATGCATTGATAATTTCACCCTAAGTCAAAGGTTAGAACACTGTCATACTTATCGCAGGCCAACAATTGTAGTGTTTATTGAAATTAGGAACATATTAGATTAGTTAGACAGGACTGTTCTCTGCGATTGTCTATTGAAGAAGAATGTGCTTAAAAAGTGTATTAACATCTTGAAAACCCTACGTACAAACAACCCAGGCAGAGTGAGGGCATACAACCACCCCTCTCCATCGTACCATTCAGGCAGTGGAGTTAGTCAGGTTTGCCCAATCTCACCATTCCTCATCAACTGTTCTATCGACGACGTTCTGGAAACAGCTCTGATGGATGTAAGTAATGACGGTGTGGATCTGTTTCCTGGAGAAAGATTCTTGACATTGAGTATGCGGATGATATTATCTTACTGTGCGATGATACCCGAGTCATGCAATCCGCATTTAGTTAGTTGGCAATTAGTGTCTGTAAGTACGGTATGTGCTTTGCACCTTCGAAGAACGAAGTACTTTTACAAGACTGACAGGACCCTGATCCTGCACTCACCCTGAATAGTTAGCAGATTGAAGTAGTCAAGAAGTTCCCGTATTTGAGTCGTTGCATAAGTGCTGGTGGTGGTGTGAGTGATGATATCAATTAGCCTATAATGAAAGTCAGAGCGGCTTATGCCAACCTGCGCCATCTTTGGCGCCTTCGTGATGTTAGTCTGGCTGTAAAAGGTCGGATCTACAACGCGTCGGTGAGAGCAGTTTTGTTTTATGTTTGTGAAACGTGGCCTCTCCGAGTTGAGGATGTTAGACGTCTCTCTGTGTTCGATCATTGTTGTCTCCGAAGGATTGCTGACATTCAGTGGCAACACAATGTTAGTAATGCAGAGGTTCGGCATCGTGTGTTCGAGCGCAGAGACGATAATTCAATTGGTGTCACCATCTTGAAACACCGACTTCGGTGGCTTGGACATGTTTTACGAATGTCGTCCCAGAGACTTCCACGTCGTGCATTATTTGCCGACTCTGGGACTGGTTGGAAAAAGCGGAGAGGTGGTCAGTGTATGACATAGTGTCGCGGGATAAAATAAAGCTATGCAGGACGGGCTTCTGGTGGTCCGTCACGATTTCCTGATTGAGGTTTTAGAGATGGTGTAACACAGTGACTAGAAACGTAATCAGATATTGCGTAGAATAGAAGCCAATGGCGATCCTGCTGTAACTGAAAGAATTCTTTGCGGTTGTATTTTTACTAACTGAACTGTTTCTCCTATTATTATTATTACTAGTAGTATTTCAATCTCAAACACTAATTTCTGTTCCCTGTTGTTCTTCATCTTTTTATACGTACCTTAGATTTTCTATCTCTCCACAACCTCTTTGTAATAGTGTGGCGCATATGTATTTGTTGCCCCCTTTATACCAATATTTATATATTTAAATAAACAAATAAATACATAAATGAAAGTCTGACACACAGCGGCAACATCATGTTGGTGATCCTGAAGTTTGGCAACGAGTCTCTGAGGGCAGTTACGATGATATGATTGATGTCACCATCTTCAGATTCAGTGGTTCGGAAATGTTTTACGAACGTAATCACAGAAACTTTTACATCGTGCTTTGTTTCCCGACGCAGGGATCGAGGTAGAAAGCGTAGACCTGATCAGTATATGACATGGTGTCGTGGCATGAATAAAGATTGCATAGGCCTAGCCCATTTGTCGACTAATTAAGACTCCCTGGCTGGGGTCTAAATTAGACGCTTGGGATGTTATCAGAAACCGGTCAGCTACAACGTAGGACCAAGCACATATGTGCATCGGTCCAAGTTGCCACACCTCATTAGCACAACAAGAACACAAAATCTATATAAGCAATTACTTCAATTGTAGTAATATACAAAAGATTGTGTACAAAAAGATAGTACAGGAAGAAGGAATTAGTTCGAAGAAAGAAAGGTATAAAGCAATTTTAATCTCACAGTTTAAGGGAAGACAAAGAGTGTATACGCCTATGCCATTGTGATCGATTCTGAGCCATGTCACCCAGAGTCTCCAACCATTGGTTACGATAGTCACACGGACCCCAACCAAGTAGTCTGCACCTACCAACATTGCTAAGACCAGAAGTTAGTAACTTCAAGCACTGATGCCACGTTTTGGCTTGGTCGCCCTAACACTCTTCCAGCCATCCCCAACACTAGTTAGCATTGCGCGTCGTGGTAACCGGTGTTCAGACATACGTACCACGTGGCCCAATCATTTCAGTCGATGGAGATTTACAACCTGATCAACTGATTTACCATCATTCCCTAATACCGTGAGTCTAACCTCACTATTACTTACCTAGTAATCTCAGCAGATGTGGGCAATATTTCCAAGACATCTATGGTCAAATACTAGTAACTTACGAGTATCTTCTAATCTTAATGGCCATGTTTCGTTGTCTGGTGTTACCTCCAGCAGCTGCCTTTTCCATCTCTTTTGCCTTCGTTACCCACTACTGCTCACGGCCGTTCCTTAGATTTTTGGTTATTCTGGATCTGATTTGTTTTCGTTCTTGATCGTGTTCGGTGCCTGATGAGAGTCTATCAGTGCAATGGACTTAGTAGAAATCCATTAGTTTTTTTCATGACCATTTGGTTTAAATCGTTAATAGGTTTCACTGCTGTTTCCACAGCTGTTTGTGTATTTTTCCAAGCAACATCTGTGTCAGCCTCATTTTCAAAACTACCTAAATGTGAATTCAGTTGTTTCTGGAATCTACGTTTGGCTTTCTCGTCAGAGTTCAATTCTAATGGGTCTTCTTAATGTTGTTTTTCTGCGTCGAGTGAGGCGAAAACAAATACATGCTCGTATTATGGCATGATCAGAGGCTAAACATGTATTACAGAACAAACGGCAGTCTTCTATCGAGCTTCCCTAACGATTGCTGATGGCAATATGGTATATTTGAGTACGTCGTTGGTTTGGTGCAGGGGGTCTCCACGGTAAACGATGTCTCTCCTTATGCTTATAATTAGTGCTTGTTAATAATAGGCGATTGTCTGAATACAGTTGCTACGAGTACTATGCCTGAGAGTTGAGCTATTTCAAGTCATCCTTCACTTCATCCGGGCTGCAGTCAGTGGGAGCGCAGGCATAAATGACGAAAAGGAAACGACGTGTGCCCCTATCCAGAATTCTCACGGAGCCGTTTAGCCAAAATTATGAAAAGCTGTGGAATATTCTGATTTGTTTCTCACATCTCAACTAAAATCAAAATTAATCCATTGTAGTGAAGTTCTGAAATTTTAATGCATTACCATGCTCTTGGTATCATCAGAGTCAAATTTATTTATAAAGGTGGTAAATGGAGAGATTAAAACCCATTACTCACTTGACTTGGGTACTTTATAATTTAAAACTGTATCGTTCACTTTCTCCTCTATTTTCTTTATCTGCGATTTACGCCTTCGACTAGTAGGAACTAAGGGTAGAAATTTGAAAAAATTAATTAAGCTGTGATAACACGATGTATGCTAAACTAATGAACATTCTAGGCAGTGAAATGTTGCCAAATGAAGTCGAAAGTGAAAATATATAAACTGACTAACTGGTCAGTAAATATTCAATATGTGTAACAATATCCAGCAGCAAAGCGGTTGAATCTCAGAGTCGATGTTCACTCTGAGACTCCAACCCAGTACCGTTTGCTTCAAACGCCATCGCGTTATCCTCTTAGCTACTGAGTCCTGATAGCCACTTGCTTGTGCAATGGGATGAAGTTTAAATTCACTTGGTATCGTTTACTTGAATCTTCCCTTTGATGTTTAGGACTGCAGTTGACCAGTTGTTGGGGATGTCAGATCCCCAGAACTCACTTGAAAAAGGCCTAATTTTGTAATTTTATTCTGAAAATTTGAATTTTGTGTTTTCGTGCCAAGAAACGCTTAGTTGACATACAGCTTACACTTTCCACTCGGAATTCCTTGACTGTCATTGGCTGACGAATTTTTAAGTACGCCATTTCGTCGCTCTCTCAAGGGCGTTCCTATCATTGTATAAATAAGCCTGATTTGTGTGCTTAGTGACCTCTTATTTTCTGGGTGCTTGTACAATACATTCTCTACGCCTCATCAAGACTTCTTGATCTAGTTAGCGGGACCGGGGACAACGGATTGGAATAGCCTATCGTGTCACTGTGTCGTTGACCTTCGTTCCGTTTACGAGTAAGGTGAACTCAAAATAGCATCTGGCATATCACCAGCCTCTTATTGGCATATGTGCATACTGTGCGTATCGCCTTAATTCACAGTAATTCTAAGCAAAGATGGATAGTGGCTAGCAGTGGAATCCAAGACGCGCGTTTCGTTCCATTTGGGACTCATCAGATGGATGTACCTACATCTTAGAGTTGATGTTCACTCTGGGACCAAGTGAATTTATATTTGACATTGTTATGGTCATATTATTTCTAAATTATATTTTAGATGTGCCAAAAAACACAAATTTGTTTCAGTTTGAGCTATTAAACAAAACTCAAGCAGAAAAACAGACAATTGGTGCGTGAACGTGAACAACGATCATTCGACTTAGTTGACTTGTCAATTTACAGTTTGCTAAAAAGACAAAATCGAGTCAACAAATCGCTTTTTGAGATCATATATGCAATCGGACATAAGATCCAGTACATATACACTTTGCTTCATGTCTTCACATTTTGAGACAACATAAAGACACAAAATAGATAAATGAAAATAACATAGTACTGAAAAAAAAGATAAATTATTTACAAAGAACGAGTAGAAAATCCATCTACGAAGCAAAATTCTAACTATTTTAGTGACGTAAACGTTGGAAAATTAATAGCTCTTTGATACAGATCAGTTACATTTCCTAAAAAACATCCGTTAAACAGCAAGAACAAAATATTTTGATTACATTTTGCACTCACACGAATGACTTCTTCATTAAACTCTATAAAAAGAATTGGCTATGGTCACGTGCTTTTTGGACGGTGTCAGAAACGTAATTGCTAGTAATAATTTTCAGCATTAAGGTTTTGCCTGTTGTTGTCAATTCCTCTATCATAAAGGCGTTAATGTGATATAATTTTTTGACACGTTTTCCAAATTGTTGGAAAATTTGTACTTATCGATGTAATTTTCGGAAACTAGTATATCCAACAAGCCATTTGTTTCATTAAAATCAACGGAGTGTACGCATCCTAAATTAAGGAAAGGCTTTGTAATGTACTTAGGGAAAGTGTAATTATTTCGATCAAAAACGTTTTTGCTATTTCTCTCTATTCTTTATCAAATTCCTTACATGAATGTAATCGTTCTTCATGCGTTAAGCATGATTATAACGCGTATACATGACGAGCGTCATAAGTTCACACTAATTGGCGAAGTAAACGTAAACGGTTTGTCACTAACACGCTTGTGTACTTGCCATTCTCCTCACCATTATGGCAATTGGAAGCGAGACTATATGCCGATAGTACGAAAGATGGATACCGATGGCTTGCTTGTGGATTGTGAGGCGAATAGCATCAAACTTTGCAAACCGTCATATCCATTTACAAAGACCACACTCACTAGAAGACATTTCACCAATAACCAATACAGACGAGGAGACTAAACATCACAATACTTCATTACCTGCCTACCACTGGCAGGCCACTAACTCGTAAAAGAACCATTGCGTATAAACGTGTTTTAGTTATTCCTCATTCCCATGAGTGGAGGAAATTTAATTATATGGGTGTATATGGTGATGTCACGTGATATATTTCCTGGCATTGTGCCAAAGTAATAACCGCTTTCGTGTAGCTGTAAATGTATTTTATTTAGTAGAATTTTGCGATAAAAAGCAAGTTAAATAACATTCGTACCCCATAATCGACAGGAAATTGGATAACCCATGATAACTTCATTCTTGAACATCTTAAAAGCCGCTTTACGCTGAGCACTCTTTTTGAAGAAGATGAACACATTTCTATGTAAAGAAAAATGTATATGTTAAGATAAAACTAGCAGATATGTAGTAAAACCAAGTTTAAATTAAAAAATTTTAGTTACTTTTCTCAGATTGCATCTAAACATAAGTTTACGGAGATCAAAAATAACTATACTAAGTCATTATAAATTATGGCCAACACTTCAATCTCATATTTAAGAATACACATTTATTCAGGCTTTAGTGAGGAACCTATATAGCTTAACTACTACTTCAACAACGGAAACAGACAGTTGTATATCATCAAGCGAGCTAAAGTATTTATGCACAGAATGTTCAACATGTTTTCCATAAGAAACAATCCCACAGCATAGTTTCGCGTAACCAATCAAAGGCATTACTAATAAAAAGAAACACGACGAGCTTGCAATATGTGTAACGATGTGTCCAAGTACCCGAAAAAAATGAAGACAGTAAAACCATCAATGAACCAAGTTGACTGTTTTCGCCAAACAATTTTTTCGTATTTTTGTGCTTAATATAACAACTACTACCATAGACCCCACTACTGGTAACGAAGTTCTCTAGTGTCCATGAACGGAAAACAACAAACCAATAATACTGTTTATAGTATATACCAACAAAATTTATCGATAAATAACTAATAAATAAATACGTCTGATGATCGTCTTACAAGCAACATCGAAGACATGAGAATTGCAACTTAAAAGCACATTCTGAATAAATACTGTGAATTTGATACAGTGAAATTCAACGTAAAGTTACTAGTACATATGCTTTACTTTTTAGCTTACTCCTCGCAAAAAGCATAGAACTACTGACACATTACACAGACGCATTTATTCCCAAGCTAAAAAAATATTAAGAAAACAACAGATAACATATTCGCATACTGATGTCAGTAATAATGAATTAACCCCATAACCACATGATAGAGATTTATAGACCACAAAAACCTCACCTTTATCTTATTTTACGCCCTGAAATCAACATTAAAATCCCCCCCACACACAAGCTTAAGTAGAGAACTACACTACTCATAATTAGTATAATTTACAAGTGATAGACACATATGCATGCAGCACTTATTACAAAACTTAATTATACCTGTTACCCCTCGTGGAGTGGCATAGGCCACCCACCAGCATTTACCATGCATCCCTGTCCTGGGCAATCCTTTACAGTTGCTATTCATTCTTTTGATGTATGCTTCCAATTCTCGACATAGTGTGTTCTTTGGCCTTCCTCTTCTTCGTTTCCCTTCGGGATTCCAAGTTAGGGCTTGACTACTGATGCAGTTTGGTGATTTCCTCAATGTATGTCTTATCCACTTCCAACGTCTTTTCCTAATTCCTTCCTCAGATTGAAGCTGATTTGGCCTCTTCCGCAGAAAGCTGATGATGATGGTATCTGGCCAACGGACATTGAGTATCTTACGCAGACAACTATTTACAAATACGTGTACTTTTTTGATGATGGTTGTGGTAGTTCTCCAAGTTTCAGCTCCGTACAGTAGAACTGTTTTGACGTACGTACTGAAGATCCTGACTTTGATGTTTGTTGAGAGTTGTTTTGAGTTCCAAATGTTCTTTAATTGTAGGAATATGGCCCTTGCTTTGTCAATACTTGCCTTTACGTCTGCATCAAATCCTCTTTGTTCATCGATGATACAGATACGTGGAAGTTTCCAACTCTTCCAGAGTATTTCCATCAAGTGTGACTGGGTTCGTGTTCTCTGTGTTGTATTTCAGGATCTTGCCTTTTCCCTTGTGTATGTTCATGTCTTTTGTTTCCAACTCTTCCAGAGTATTTCCATCAAGTGTGACTGGGTTCGTATTCTCTGTGTTGTATTTCAGGATCTTGCCTTTTCCTTTGTGTATGTTCAGGACTACTGATACAGACTGCTGCTAGACTGGCTGTCTTGATCTGCATTTTTTGGTGTGTATGGAATAGAAGGGCCAGGTCATCTGAAAAGTTCAAATCGTCTAGTTCCATCCAAGCTTTCCATTATATTCCGTGCTTCCCCTAAAATGTAGGGGTTTTCATAACCCAGTCAATCCCCAAAAGTGAAAGAGGGAAGGTAAGCAGTCTTTTCTGACTCCGGTCATCACTTGGAATGCGTCTGTCAGCTGTCCTCCATGCACTACTTTACACTATAGTGAGTCGTATGAATTCCATATGATATTGAAGATCTTTTCAGGTACACCGTAGTGTCGAAGAAGACCCCATAAGTTCTTCCTATCCACACTATCAAACGCCTTTTTCATAGTTAATGAAGTTGATGTATAGTGATGAGTTCCACTCAATTGATCGTTCCACGAAGATCCGTGGTGTCACAAATTTTAAAAATGTATTTTTTATTTTCAGACGAATTCTCAAGTTATTTAGACAAACGCCACCTACCTAGTATTGGAATCTTTACGTGATGCCGAGCTTAAACCAGTCAAAGATGTTTCGGGAAATAATGCTTTAATTCGATCATCATCAATCACATTGGGTACCTCTTTCAGTTTCAAACCATAACTTGCATAGGGAGGTTTGGACGATTCCGATTTGGATTTACATTGTAGATTTGCTCTAACCAGTCGATTATTAATATACTTATGTTTACATTCATCTATAACAACTTGAAGATCATTCTTATTCTTCATTTCTAATATACATGAACTAAAAATAAAATTTAATGGAACTATGAATATGATAAATCAAAGTTTGAAGTAGTATAATCAGTTATAATATCTGAACTCAAAATGACTTTTATTATGAGTTAGCACGAAGAACTGGAGAACTATTGAAAACCATAGAGCATTGTAAAACCGGTTCCTTTTAGTTTGAGCAGTATGGAACAAATAACCCATACAGCGAGTGGAACCAATACCATTAGATTAAATTCTATGAATTCTCTACAAAAAAGTGTTGATAAATAAGTGATAAGCGTATGCTTACACAAGCGATTGGTCCTCATGAGTTTCCTATGGCTCTAGTGAGAAGTCATGATCTCTAATGTCAAATACGTTAGAATTGAGGCAGTTCACAACCGAAGCCCTTGAATGACGATCGTGCTATTTTACGACAAACTACTAAAGCTGGGACTTTAAATAGTTGGACGGCGACCCAATAGTCTAAGGGTATAGTGCTTGCCGTGGCAGCTGGAGGCCTTCGGTTCGATTTGATTGGCTTGTAGATGTTTTAGTATGCTACTTTTTACATTATTATTGAAGGCAAAGTGCATATACCTACTTCCACTAGAGTTCGCTTCATTTTTCTTCGATGAGTTTAATAAACTATTTAGTTAGTGTTTGATCTATTTCTCTCTACTTAAGATAGAGCTACAAAAGGGATGAGAAAGTTCACAGTAATCAGTTGTAGGAACAATCGCTATTTATTATTACAAGAGCCCATAAAGGAGACAAGTAATATTGAATTATCTTATCTTAATTGCATCTTCTCCTGCAAATACGACGGTCATATTTTATCACTAATAAAACTCAATAACTCAACTCGAACTTGATTCGATAACTATACAGATGTATATGACCACCTGAATCAAATACTAATCGATCATGAGACATTTTGAGATCAATCTAATACTGTTAATAGTTGTAATCCTATGTATGATTCAATAAAGTAATACCTAATAAGTACTACGCTTCATTTAAAGTGGTAAAGAAAAATAGTACCTACCCATTGAATATTCCAAACTTATTTACACCTAAATGAACACGATTGGCCATGGGGAAGTGTTCTTTAATCTCAGTTGCAGTAAGTGAGTATGGCAAGTTTCGTATAATTAAACAATTGGGACTATTAGTTACAAATTGTTTTGATAGATTAGACTGGACTGTATTTTCTGTGTATCCAACAACCGCTTGATAATTTGGCTAGATAACAAATAATTATTTTTTAAAAAGGCACATGAATAAATTGAAGCGTGTGCAGAGAATATTTAGACAGATATGTAATATTTGAAGCAAGATTAAGGTCGTATACGGTTTAATTGTCGGATGTGAATATAATCAGAGTGGTAGTCTAGTGATTAAACCAAACGACGTTAAACCATTAGGTCCCAAACTCAAATTACACTTCATTTACTTTCGTTTGGGCAGTTGGTTAGTATCACTAATTCTCAGACAAATGTGGATCAAAGCGAAGTACATTAATTTGCACTTGTTTGCCAAGTTGCATTACTATTGTCATGACTATTATTATTTGTGATGATAAGCTTTGCTTGAAAGTTAAGTATGATACAGAAATATTCTTCAAACGTTCTATTAATTCTTTAAATATTATAGATACACTTTCCTTCCAAAGAATAAAAACAAAACACAAGAGTAAAATAAGATTTATGACCAATTATTTCATTATACATTCGTAGGTATTAAAGTACGGTAAGAGCACAACATTACCTGATCTAAAAATGAAATTTTTACTCATGTTCAATTGTCTCTCGATTGTTTTACAATTTAAGCTCATGAATTGAAATTTATGAATCCAAACATCACTGACACTTCAGAATCTGTAAAAACGTTACGGGCAATCAAACCACGGTATTACTCCATAAAGTTACTAACTGTTAGACAGAGTTAAGGGGCGGACATTTACGTCGGTATTCTCATAGTGAGCATCATCAATGGCTGAACTTTGGTGAAATGGTTTGAGATCGGTCGGGGCAGTGTAAATGTATTTGTTTTTCGTCTTCCTTTATATCCAGTAAGCTGGAATATTTCAAACATCATTTCGCTAAAGCTTTGATTTTTTAAACTATATCTTTCATGCTTACTTTACTATTGTTATGATTTTGATTATCCATTTTGTAAATCAGGAATAATGTTTATCAAGGTAATTAATTATACGGAATCTTTTCCTCGCCATTGGTATAATGATTTTTAGCTCCTATTCATTTTGTTTAATAAATTTCATTATGCTTAAGCATGTTGAATCAAACCGTTACATTTTTTACCGACCCTAGGTCGTTGGTGACTAATTGAACGAAAATCCATAGATAGCTTAAATTTTAGTTTTCTAAACTGTGGATTTTGATTTCTTTGATCAATTTGAAGGTGTCCTGAAGATGTTAAGTTTAAGTGCTTAGTGTTCAAGAAGTGCTTTTGATGATAGTAACAAACTTAACGCTAGAAAAAAAAATCACGTGTGCGACGATTATAGATACTAATAGATGGACAAAACTAAAAAGGATGAAGAGTGAAACTTAGACACGCGACCCAACTGTTAAAATTCATGTTCAAAAATTTTATTCTGGATATCATACCTCATTCAACAACGAAGAGCGCAAGACTTGGAAAATAAGCGACATGACAAGTGACAAAAAATTATTTGTAAGTACACCTCACAAAACAAATTGTGACAAATAAACAGAAAAAATAAACGATGAAGCCGAGGTTACTTAAAGTATGCTAAATGTACAACATAAACTTACTTTAGTACCGTCAAACTCGATTGACTTTAAACGATTCACAGCATCTAAGTAATCGTCATTACTTGAAAAGTCTAAAAGCGCGTGCTTCGAACCAGCTGTATTACGCAAATTCAAATGAATAACTGATGGAAAAATATCCCTCAAAATGGTTTGGTTGACACTGCATGGTAGACTAGTAAGCAACAATTTTCGTGTTCCATGCGTTAGCTCTTAATAACGAAAAATCGTATACGTTTATAAAGTTTTATTTAAAAGGAAGAAAAAAAAGTGTCAAGATTTTTTTATTTGTTGATCAACTAGAATAAGCTCAAGGACTAGGGATTATTTCTATTGAGACGCTTTTCTGTGTAGCTTATAAATAACTGTAAATATCCATGTGAATTATAAGTGGGCGACCTTCTGTTAAAAGGAACAGATACTACAGAGTATTTCGGTAAAAAAAAATTTTAGTCAATAGAAACATTAATGTTAAAATATAGAGACGAAATGAGATTGTTACTTAGATTACAGGGGCGAGATATAGCAAGGTAGCGAATTGTGATGAATTATAACAAGAAATTTCTACATTCTACAGGTACGAATTTTGACTGTTATCAGATTGAGTCGCCCAATAATCATACCAGTATTTAGGAAAGGAAGGAGACGTCTGGTAAGAAATCTTGGGGAATTTCAAGTCCTATGCGGTAGCATCCACAGAAAGAAGGAAAATTTACAATTCAATAAGCTTTGTGGAGGCTCACGTAAGAGACTTGACTTATTACAAACTTATGCAGCTTTAAAACTAATCAGTACTCTCGCTTACAGTCAACGTTTCTTCCTTTAATAACTTTCAGTAAATTTTTTTCAAGACTCCTTCCCCCTTTGAAGGTTATACGGCACACTGTTTTTACGTTTGTTTGTTGATACATATAAAAACATCCAGATTTGTCACTTGTTAAGCTTAGAATGCTATAGTGGCTGTATTATTATGAAAGTAATAGGGTATTCTTATCAAGTCTCAGGTTCAGAATATAATTTTGAGTTTATTTCACTGCATACATAAAAATAGTTGATATCAAATATAATATTCATTGGCAAAGCATTTGTCGAATACACCTATAGGGTAACTCTAAGTGAAAATGTCACTCAATCTACAACAAAAATATATCACGTCAAAGTTTAGTTATAAGCATTACTTTAAACAATGAGATTTGATTGTTACCTTTGGTCTCAGAAATAGATTTTTGTAAGATCTGAATAAATAAATACATTAGCAATACCAAAAATACTTGCTCTCTTTTTTGATTCACGGCTAAGCTTTTTATTCTTGGGATATTCCTTCTTAACGCTACAAGTTTGATTTAATTTGTCTAAATCGATATCAATTCCTGACAACTTTGTGGAAGGACAACCAGTCGACTTTGATTTCTTTGAATGTTTGCGAGTCCTAGCTTTACAGTCTAGCTCACCGCGTGCCGTCCTTTTCACAGATATCTGAAGTGTTAAGAATAGGGGGATTCACTTTACAACACAGAATTCTTGTGCAGTGGGAGTATAAAATTTGTTAGATTAGTAAAAACAAGGTTTTTAGTTGATTGTACGACGTAAATATTATAAGAAAATAATGCAGAACAAAAATGATGTACTTCTAGACCTTTGCAAACAAGTAGTAAACCAAATGAACTTACAAAACTTGATTTTAAAAAAAAATACTTTTTTTCTTTTGTGTATTTCGATTGTAGACAGATGGGAAAAGAATAATGGGAACTTTGTTTCTTTACCGCCGTACACTCTCCACAGAACAGAGCCGTCTTACTGCTAAAGCTCATGACAGACAAGACTTTACTATCACAATGTAAGGCCTGGAGTGTGTATCATTTTAAGTTCATACGTCCTAAGAGAATATTGGTTATTGGTAATGTCCAACCACCTAGAATTAATTCAGATCGAAATTATGCATTTGAGATTAGATCTTTTGGTAAAAAAGTCAAGGAGTAAGTACGGACAATATAGACAAAAAAAACGTGGAACCTAGTACGGATGTGTATTGGTCCAAGTTGTCAAACGTCATTCAAGCTTACGATTAAAGATATGGGATATAAACAGAAACCAAAAGTTACGAGGAACCACATGAGAGTTGAGAGAAAAATAAATGAATGACTTCCAGGAATAACAATCTAGAAAGGACTCGAGTTCTCAATTTCGAGTAAAACGTTTTGTGCGAGGGATATACTTAATCCTAAAACGTACCGAAAGTTGATCCTGCAACCTAGTGATCTTAAAATCAAACTCCGTTATCAATGAGCGGATACTCTACATAAGATAATGGTATTCTCAGAACTATGGCAAATAATGGATTTATCCCCGCTACTGCAATTGTTGAAACTAACGTCATTTAATACCATTGACAATACTTTAAGGTTGTTACATGAAACATATTTAAGAATCCCACGCCTTTCTACACAATTTAATGATAAAAAGACTCATAGACTTCGGTTTCCTTTGTTTATTAATCCTTATCACAATGAATATGATCCCTACAGATATGTAGTTGCGTATGTTCAAAACACTAGATTTGACGAGCCTCCTTAAACGTATAAACCTGGAAGTACAGCCGAAGCAACCCATAAAGGTGAAAATGAGTTGGGAAATAATAGGGAAACGCACCAGAATGTCTGCTTTTTCGACTGTCAGGAAGAAATAATGCGGATTTATGATTGAGATGAAAAAACTAATTAATATATGGGTGGAATTTTCTCACAAAAGACTAAGAAACATGAACAAGTATGTAATTAGGGATATAAAATATAAGTTAATATCAAGTTGCGTAGCAAGTACGCCTTCCGACTTTCAACGTAAATGTCGCACATTAAACTTCGTCTCAGTATGGAAAACGATAGAGCGCCTACTGTTTCTTCTGTACTTAGGCCCCATAATTCTTCAACAAAGTTTACCACAACCCTTGTACCTTAATTTCAAACGTTTAGCATTAGCGACTTATTTGTTAGCACATCCAAGATTACGTAACAGTGTTATGGATTCGGTTTACAATCGAGTGGTTTACAGCAATTTCTTGAGGAATATGAACGGTGTTATGGGCCTGAAAACGTGATTTATAATGTGCATTTGTTGAAGTACCTTCCTGATGATTTTCGTTCACATAGGCCTTTAGATCCTTTTTCCATTCGAGCTTTATATGAAGCACATAAAGAAATCAGTGCATAGTGGGTATGTTGTAGTCAAACAAGCAGCTCAGCGTTATGCGGAGATATCTTTCTATGATAGGCTTCAAGCTAGCATATCGACTGATGCTATAAAAACAATCGTTAAGGCACACTCAGGGAAACAGGTGATTATGCTTAGGAATGTAAAAAATAACATTTAAGCCGGATGATGTTATTCTGGCACACGGAAAGCCTGGTCTTGTAACTGATGTAGGGAAAAAAGGACTTACGACATTTGGATCATTCACAGACCCATGGAATTAATTCTAAGAATTCTTCCATTTTAGTGACATAGGAATATTTATGTGCTCGGCAGTTAGTCATGAGCACACATAGGTTTCCATTGAGGATGTTAATTGTAAATATATTGCTCTTAAATATGTTATTAATTTAGTGATTGTTCCATTGCTACATACGTTTATGTGAATATATTGTTTTTAACTTTTGCTGATGGTATTACTTTAAACCATTTCCTATTTAGCCGACCAACAAGCAGTACGTAATTGTAGACACACCGAGCATAAGGCAGGTTCTGATTGCAGCAAAAGAGTGGATTGTGGGAAAAGGACTTTGTCTCTATCTTACGGACCTTGCTGATATGCACCTACAAAACAGTGCCCAATCAGATGACAACTGGCCAGTCATGAAGTGTAAGGTCATCCACGAATGCGGTGAGTTACAAACATAAAAACGATCGTTTCCAGACTGTAAAGGAGTTGTCGGCTTCATTCAACAAATTGAATGTTTACGATGTCAACAGTTCTAGGGATGTAAACACTATGCCAATAAACAATCAGAAGCGGAAGAGGTCAGTATGGTAATGTAACATTTTGTAGAGGTGCATTGAAACGAAAAGAAGGGTTTCTGTACAATTCCGTTGACATGGATGTGGCCGAGATGCATACTGGAAACATCCACGTCCAATATCCTAAATTTCGGTTGCTGGACACTTGTCTCACCGATTGCCAAATAGGTGTGTTTACTTTAGAGATGTTAGTAAAGTAGTTCGACACAGTTGGATATGTCGCCCTCAACGTTCAAGTCTAGGCGTGTGAGTAGTGCGTTAGCGGCCGGATAAGTCACGTGTCTGACTGAGTTAAGTACTTTAGATTTGATAGACTGTATGCTGTACTGCAGAACGTATGGTCTGCTGTTTCAGACTTGAGTGCCAACATTATACAGCTAATCTCGAAGTCTAGTGGGCGTGAACATCCGCGGCAATTCGATTTCGGACTATCAAGTTTGTAGTTCCCTTTGTCATCTGAAGTGGAACTGGGGACGTTGGACGCATGTCTTCAGCAAGAGAACATTAGGGAAACATTTTACGTTAACAAAATTCATTGGATTATTCGTTCATATTGCAGATGACCATGTTGACGCGGCTAATGGATAATCTTAAAATGTCTACGCGCTATTTTTTGTCATACGTCATGACACCTGAAGCTGCCAGCCATTTTAATCTACATGGCACTTCATAAATGCAGGTTTTACGGGTGCATACGAAGTAAGAACTTTTTTTCAAAACATTCAGGAGCATTAACAACTCGGTTCCTATCCTCATCCTTCAACGAAAAAGAACTTGAAAAACTGTATGACATCGTGGCGCAAGGGTACTTTCACGATAGAGACAGAATACAAAAGCGTAATCGAATAGAACAGGAATATATATGTACTAATTTAAACTCAACTATTCGCTGCTGTACTATAGTTGCAAAGCCACAAAATGCCCTGGTACGGCCGAGAGTGGGGAGAGTCAGCTCTCCCTTTCAAAATGCTCTCATCTGGCCACGTGCAAACAACCACTGCCAGAGATGTCCTACTCACTGCTTTTTTGCGGCGGGGGTGTTGTTTACGAAATTGAGAGGATGAAAAGTGAATGCTTCGTGCTATAGCCGAATTGGTGGACACGGAGGGTACATCTACAAGAGTTGGCTAGAAAACCCTGATTCCAAACCAATGGTGCACATAGGCTCCAGGATCCTGAAAGAAGAAATAGCGTATGAACCAAGTGTCGGCCACCGGCTACCATGGGACTGCATCTCCTGACGTTGCTCTACTGCCTTGTGGATCAAACCTTTAGATCGAAGGCTCTGGGTGTGGCTACCTAACAAAACCACTTGCTTCGGTTTGGGCACCCTAGCAGTATCACAGTCCACACGCAAATCGAATAATTTGTGTGGCGCATATCTATTTGGTGTCCCCTTGTACCAATGTTTATGTATTTAAATAAATAAAATTAAAAAATATTTGCAATGTTCAGTATTAACGAACATGGCCGTAAGCATGGCTTCACGTAGACAGTTGCTCAAAAACTATTGCAGTTAGAGATAGTTATAATATTTTCGGTTCATTGAATTTCAAAATTCATAGGACTAGTGTTGCCCAAAGTAAGAAACTATAAAGATTTAGGAGTCATACTAAGTAATGATCTCAAAACAACCAGTCACTGTAAGGCAGCTGCAGTCCTACTCACTGCCTTCTCGTGGCGGGGGTGTTGTTTACGAAAGTGAGAGGACGAAAAGCGAATGTCCGGCGCTATAACCGGATTGGTGGACACGGAGGGTCCACCTAGGGGAGTTGGAAAACCCTGATTCCAAACCAATGGTGCACATGGGCTCCAGTATCCTGATGGAACGAATGGCGGAAGAACCTGTCATTGGTCAACGGCTACCATGGGACTGCATCTCCTCACGATGCTCCACTGCCTTGTGGATCAGACCTTTAGGTCAAAGGCTCGGGGTGTGGTCCCCTAAGAAAACCACCTGCTTCGGTTTGGGCACCCGGGCAGTATAACAGCCCACACACAAATGAATGAAATGATGAACTCTATTGACGATTCTATTCCTGCTCATATTATAAGCAAGACAATTTACACTATTATTATTATCATTATTACTATTATTTACTACGTCGCTTTTTCATTCCCTTTATTCCCAAATTGTGTATCCTTCCTTTCCAACTTATGCAGTAGCTCGCCCACGGTGGAAAATCTGTCCTATCTAAACGATCTCCAGTCACTGTCTGGTTGAAAGTGAATGCTTCCACCGATTATGAATACTGAAGCAGTCTTTCTGAAACCACGTACACCATTCAAGCTGGCTTCCTTCAACATTCGCACACTAATGCAGATCAGACAACAGATAGGGCTGGCTATGTCTTTGGAAGGTCTTAATGTTGATGTTTGCTGTCTATCCGAGACCCGTATTCAAGAACCTAGTGAAGTACTACAAATCCGCTCTCCATCTGTCGCCTCGAAAAGCTTGTTCCACGTGCGCTTATCCGGGGACCCTGTGGCATCTTCGTCTGGTCTTGCTAGCGTTGGTGTTGCACTAAGCGCTAGGGCTGAGGCAGCACTAATCGATTGGATCCCCATTAACAGTCGGTTATGTGCTGTTAGATAAGAAAGTTCCATCAAAGTGAGAAGAAATAGGCGTGAGAAACGGTGTCTTTTCGTCATCTCCGCCTATGCCCCGACAGATTGCAGCTGCATCTGGTAACTGCCGGAAGCTCTTCCAACTCATCCGAGCCACTGGCAGCAAGAAGTCTGGTGTGAGTGAAACAATCTACGAGGATGACGGGATGCCAATCACTAACATCTGTCGACGTCTTGGACGATGGGCGGAATTTTTCGAAGGGCAGTTCAACTGGCCTGCTGCTCCGGCAACATCAACCAGCTTGTCCTGCCCCCCATGGCCGGTGACGACTGTTCCACCAAACGAGGCGGAAGTCCGCGAGGAACTCCAACTCTTGAAACGTTACAAATCACCTGGCCCAGATGACTTACCTCCGGCTCTTTTTAAAGATGGTGGCGACTTTCTGACAAAGGAATTGACTGTGTTGTTTGGAAAGGTTTGGGAGCAAGAAAGTGTTCCAACATCTTGGAATGAGTCAATAGTCGTCCCTATCTTTAAAAAGGGTTCATATTGTTCCTGCAATAACTATCGGGGGATAAGTCTACTTTCGATTGCGTCCAAACTATTGGCTTCTATCATTCTTCGTAGGTTGTTTAAAACCCGAGAACGATTGACACGCGAGGAGCAGGCTGGTTTTCGTTCTGGTCGAGGATGCATTGATCACATCTTCACCCTCCGCCAAATGTTAGAACACCGTCATACTTATCGCAGGCCAACAATCGTAGTGTTTCTTGATATCAGGGCGGCCTTCGATTCGTTGGACAGGACTGTTCTCTGGGATTGTCTATTGAAGAAGGGTGTGCCTGAGAAGTTCATTAACATCTTAAAGGCCCTGTATACGAACACCTCAGGCAGAGTGAGGGCATACAACCACCTTTCTCCCTTGTTCCATTCGAGCAGTGGGGTTAGGCAGGGTTGCCCGATCTCCCCATTCCTCTTCAACTTTGCCATCGACGACATCCTGGAAACAGCTCTGGTGGATGTAAGTAATGGCGGTGTGGATATGTTGCCTGGAGAACGACCTCTCGACCTTGAGTATGCGGATGATATTGTCTTACTGTGCGATAATGCCCAAGGCATGCAATCAGCACTTAATCAGTTGGCAATCAGTGTCCGCAGGTACGGCATGTGCTTTGCACCCTGCAAGTGCAAGGTACTCCTGCAAGACTGGCAGGATTCTCATCCTGTACTCACCCTGGATGGTGAGGAGATCGAAGTAGTTGAGAAGTTCGTGTATCTAGGTAGCTATATAAGTGCTGGTGGTGGCGTGAGTGATGAGATTGGTGCACGTATAATGAAAGCCAGAGCGGCTTATGCCAATCTGGGCCATCTTTGGCGCCTTCGTGATGTTAGTCTGGCTGTAAAAGGTCGGATCTACAACGCGTCGGTGAGAGCAGTTTTGCTCTATGCTTGTGAAACCTGGCCTCTCCGAGTTGAGGATGTTAGACGTCTCTCTGTGTTCGATCATCGTTGTCTCCGAAGGATTGCTGACATTCAGTGGCAACACAATGTTAGTAATGCAGAGGTTCGGCATCGTGTGTTCGGGCGCAGAGACAATAATTCAATTGGTGTCACCATCTTGAAACACCGACTTCGGTGGCTTGGACATGTTTTACGAATGTCGTCCCAGAGACTTCCACGTCGTGCATTATTTGCCGACCCTGGGACTGGTTGGAAAAAGCGGAGAGGAGGTCAGTGTATGACATGGTGTCGTGGCATGAAAGAGAGCTGCAAAGAGCTAGCTTCTGTTGGTCCTTCACGACTCCTTGGTTGGGGTCCGAGAGATGGTGCAACACAGTGGCTAGAGACGTTATCAGATATGGCTCAGAATAGAAGCCAGTGGCGAACCTGCTGCAACCTTCTTTTACTTTCTACATAAAGAATGGTTCTAACTTTCCTAACTGAAAGAGTCTTCTGGTTGTACATTTCAGTCCGCCTTATCTTTTCATCCCTTCTCTTCCTACTTTCATTATTTTGTGTGGCACATATGTACCTGGTGCCCTTTTGTACCAATATATATGTGATTAAATAAATAAATAAATAATAGGGTATTATGGTCTATTCGTAGATCTTTCCGGTATCTGGATGGGGAAATGTTTAGATTATTATACCCAACTTTCGTACGGCCACATTTGGAATATGGGATTCAAGCAGCGAGTCCTTGTTTCAAACATGAGGCGGATATGTTGGAACGAGTCTAACGCCGCGGGACAAAAATGGTAAAAGGCCTATCTAGCCTATCTTATGAAGACAGACTGAGACACCTCAACTTAATTCCGTTATCTTACCGGCGAATACGGGGTGATCTAATATTGGCATATCGTATCCAGAACGATGACCTTGGTACTAACATGTCCTATCTTTTCCTCCCGTCTAGGGCTGATCATTTGAGAGGACATTCAAAGAAAGTCCAAAAACCGAGATCAAATCGTCTACGTCTGGAGTTTCGTTTCTCGCACCGAGTAGTGAATTACTGGAATTCTCTACCAGAACACGCAATATCAGCACCTTCTGTTGATATATTCAAGACGAGATTGGACCTCCACAGTGTAACAAACTGTAAGGATTAAAATAGGTCACTAGACCTCCTATCCTTATTACTGAAGACTGAATATCACTTTGCTTCGTAATAGTCAAACATCCGTTTAATAAAGGCATTACTAGTGAAATATTTTTCATATCTAACTTCGTTTTTAATAAACATTCTTTAAAATGAGTTTATTTTCTAACTTGCATGTGAAACTCTGAGTGATTGTTGAGAAAGCCTGTCTGGTTTTAAATCCACTAATAATTAAGTGCCCGTGCCTGATTAGTAGACTATAACCTTTCTTTTGCAGATCGCAGATTACAATAAGACGTGGCATTCATAATGAAAATAAATAACAATCGCTGCTCAAGTACTTGTCTACTACCCATAATATTGTACAATATGGCGTTTTTTCAGTAATTTTCTTTAAATAAGTACCATCTTTAACGTCGACTGCAGTTGTCATCTGGTTTATTATGGAAATAACGGTGAACATAGGAGACATTTGGGGTTGGGCAAAAGGTGAGTCAAGAATTCGAACCAAAAGTAGACAAGTTGTCGTGCAGTTAAGTGGAAAGTATACAATTTGGCGACATGAAACGCAGCAACAAAACAGGGATAATTCACAAGATTTCCTCATGACAGGTGAAAAAGCAGACATTCTGGTGCATCTTCCTGCTATTCCCCTTTATTTTCCAACATATATCCTCGTTTATTTCCCCCTTTGTTTGCCTTTCTTTCACCTATATGGGTTGTTTGGGACCATCCTAATGATGAACGAAATTTAAGACTTGTTTGTACAGATTAATCCACTACGTGGCATTGATTCAGATATTCACACGAAAATAAACCCAGAGTTACAATCTAGCTGAAAAGAATTCAAATTCTGAGAAAAATAACATAAAAATTAGTCAGACATTCAGCAAACTTTAAAGATTTTGGAAGTTGCATTGGAAACATTTTCCTGAATTAACCAACCTGCACCAAGATTTGCAAATAAATGTGAGTGATTTTCGAAAAAATCGAAGTAACACAATGTGATAATCATAATTCAGTAATATACATCTACATAAAACAATAGGATAGCCAACCAACCATGTCCGACGATGACCCAGTGGTGTCATCGAATGAGACGTTATCGCGCACTTGAAGGTCAAAGTGTCGTAAAACGGCTCACTTTCAGTTTGTAAAGGACAGGAGGCTTGATGGCCTGTGTTAGTCCTGGCAATGATGGTCTCTCAGTTAATCCAACTTTCTTTTGAAAGAGTCGACGGATGGAGCCTCAACCACGTACTGAGGTAATAAATTCCGCTCGTTGATGATTCGATGGGAAAGTCGATAGTCAGGTGACAATTAATTCGTTCTGGGCTTGTGAACTTTTTAGGAGTGTCCTTGTAAATTTTCTATTTTGGAAGACCAGAAAAATGAGGGCATATCAGATGCGAATTTTTAACTAAGCAATTTGAAAACTATAATGAAGTCGCCTCTGATTCTTCGATATGACAGCGGGAATAGGTTTAGCTTGATCAGTCTAGTATCATACGAAAGCCTCGCTATTCCGTGAATCAGCTTAGTTCCTGTTATCTAAACCCTTTTCAAGAGCTCAATGGCTTTTTTTAGAGAGGGGATAGCTGCTTGTATGCAGTACTCAAGTTTAGGACGCACGAACACTGCATACAAAGTAAGAAACGTTTTAGCGTCGAGATGATTAAAAGCCCTGCGTATGGACCATAAAGTTCTAAAACCTTTGGCAGCTATTGCAGTAGTCTTTAAGTCTTGACTAACGATGACTCCTAAGTCATTGTGTGTCTGGACAGTAGGTAGCTCAGTGTTATTCATCATGTATGTATCTGTACCCTGGTGGCCAATGTGCATCACAATACACTTGGAAGTATTTATCGGCAATTTCCAGGTTGGGGACCATTCAGATAATTTCTCCAGGTCGTTTTGGAGTTCTAAGCTATCACCCTTACTTTGTATCGCTCTCCATATCTTGACATCGCAAGCATAGAGCAAGACTGATGACGATAGTAGATGAGGTAGTTCATTTACGTACACACTGGCCCTAAAACTGTACTCTGGGTGACCCCACTAAGCACAGTTTCCCAGTTAGACAACTAGGAGTTCACCCGTACTCTTTGTTGACGCCCAACTAGTAAGTCAATAGGTTGCCTCCAATCCCGACATTTCTCAACTTATATAACAGCCGGTTGTAAGAAACTTTGTCAAAAGCTTTGCTGAAGTCAATGTAGGCTACATCTATTGGTAACTTTTGGTCTTCAAGAGTGTACCAACTTTCACGAGCTACCGATAGGTTAGTGAGACGGGAAAAACCTGTCAAGTCATGATGATTTTCAGAAAGCAATCGGTTTTCATCGAGGCACTAAACAGCCCCTTCCGAATAATCTTTTCTAAGATTTTAACAACCACACTAGTTAAGCTAATGGGTCGGTAATTCTCAGGCTTATGTTTTGTACCTGTTTTGAAGACAGGACCTACTATGGTGTTCTTCCAGTCTTTTGGTAGACGACCCTGGGTTACGGATAGATTAATACATATACTCAAAGGGTTCGCAACATAGTTAGCTAATTCCTTTAGAAACCTAGGATGCAGTTCATCGGGTCCCGTGGATTTACCTGTCAAGCTTATTTAGCAGACCAAGGACGTCGAGTTCTTTAATGGTCACGCTGTCCAGTGTTTGTGTGTGGGGATTTTCATGGACTGGTGGGAAGGATGTTTCTATTATATATAAACATTGCTAAAGTAGTGTGAGAATACTTGAGCTTTGCCAAAGTTGTCCTCCACTAATGATGAGGCAGAACTGTCTCCCCATAGTGAAGGAACAGTTCTTCTATTTGTCCTTTGGTTTATATACGAATACAAGCGTTTAGTACATCCTATGGATTCCTTAACAATTTCCTCTTCGTACAGCTTTCTCGACTTACGGAGGGTCGAGGCACAGGTATTCCGAGATTTTCGATACTGATATTTTGCCCAGTAACATAAATCTATCCCACATTTTCCTTCTTTTACGGAGGAGGTTGCGAACCTCCCTACTGAACCATGGGGGGGTTTCTCGGCCCCCTAGGTGTAGTCCAAGGGATGTGGGGGACGGTAACTTCTAAGTATAAATTTCGAAGTACGTCCCAAGCCGTTGCAATTGAGGACTGTGGGTCTGTCGTCCAATCTACTGGTGATGCTGAGTGCATGATGTCTTGTATGTTTGCTTTCCAGACGTTAGGTCTAGGCTGAGCTGACGCGTGCTCGTGATCGACAGTCATGTGGAAGTCAAAAGGTAAAACTGCATGGTCACTTTTGACTAGGGGTGGCATGTAATCCAGGTTCTCAACGTCATCCTGATAATGAGTCAATATAAGATCTAGCAAGAATGATTCAGAGCCCGGGTAGTACCTAGTCGCTTCTTTCACATGTTGCACTAGGGCACATGTGATAACCGCATCAACTAGTTCCTGTTCGTAGGTATTATATGACGATTCAGTTCGCAGATTTTCCCAGTCCACCATGGGTGCATTAAAGTCCCCTAGGATCAGACATCCACCACTTCCTAACCAAGTGTTGAGACTGCTTAGCAGGACCTCATTTACCTAACAGCTTGGACTGCAATAGACTGAACCAATCAGCAGCTCTTTTCCCTTGCATTTCAAGCGGCAACTAACTAATTAACACGTCTCACTCTCATGGGATACATTGCCGATAATGGCGAATGGAATAGCATTCCTGATGAATACAGCTACTTCCCCTCATTTACGCTTTTGTGTTGTCGGCCCTTACTAATGTGAAACCCTCGAGGTCAAGTTCCCTACTATCTATAGACTGCGTCAGCCAAGTTTCTGTGACTGCTATTATGTATGGCTTAGTAGAGTTAATCTGTACACCTAGTTCCGATCGCTTATTGAGCAAGTTCCAGGCATTGGTGAAACAGATCCGAGGCCTTTTTAAGTGGTCTCGTGCTTCACGCAGAGCGGCTTCGGCATCATCCTCTATCGAAGCCTCACAACCCAAAAATTTACAACTTTTAGGTCTTTTTCGTCAGCGTCTAATCTGAGCTGTAGTTTTTTTCGGCTTCCTGTCTTTTTAGACAGCTCTCCAGAGGTAAGTTCTTACGGAGAAAAATATCCTGAACCCTTTAATGTATGTCCATTTTGTAAAATCAGGTCGCGTTCATTTGGGGATTTGAATACTACTTTGAGCAGTCTGGACTGATTAGGCTTCAAATTCTCCAGTCTACCTAGTCTATACACCTTTAGAAAGGTGACTCCGGAGATATTTTGGGGCATAACGTGATTGAGTAGCTGTTTTATCAACACAATGTCATGCTTAAAACGAGCTTTCGGTTCTGAGCTTTCACTCTCCTTGATTCTATGAAAAATGACTGATCTGTCGCTGTGATCAGTCTTCGATTTCTCGACTACTTTGATGGGGGCAGGATTCCATTTTACGTGTTTTTACCGCTTTTCGCTTACGACCTGTACCCAATCGTCGACGTTCTTTGAAGTAGCGACCACAGTCGCGTCAGGCATACTATGGGATTCCGGAGGGTTGTCGACGACTTGGGAGGTCAGGTCAAGTTTCGCGCTGGAAACCGACCAAGCCTTGCGATCTCAGCTTCCGGAAGTTTACTGCTGGATACCATTTTGAAGACGGGAGACAGAAGAAACTTCTTTTCTCAAGTTTTTGGTTGAGACAGACTTCTTTGGAGGCTGTCCTTCCTCCTTTGGACAATGTGAGTCAGCACTTTTCGAACTCACCTGTACTTGCCTCACATCAATCTGCGTGTCGACAGATCGAGTTCTGACCGACGTGTCCCGACCGCGCTTGCCGAGACACTTTTTCGTAGCATTGACCATTGAGATGGCCTCGGTTAACAGGCTATTCGCATCCAGACAGCACTGTTGATAAAGCCATAGGTAACCATTCTTACTAACAGACACAATAGAAAAAACAGAGTGCTCTTAAGTAACGACGATAAACTACTCTAATGGAATACTTTAACTGAAACCAATTCAATCAAAGTGTAAACATTAGTCTTGATACGCTATTAGCGACCAGAACAATAGAATTTACTCAGCGAGGAAAAACTACCACTGTCCTTTTTAAATGGCGTCACCTCGATAATTCTTAAGGTTTTGCAAGAGCAGCCGAATCAAGAGTGTTAAATTTGATCTGAGTTCAGCCATACCGTGTCTGATAACGTCCATCCTTCAAGTAACGAAAGTGATGCCATCTTAATGATGCATGAAGTAGGATGAATCTTCAGTGATACTGTAGCTGTAAATAATTCCCCAAAATCAATAGATTTGTGAGTGTTTGACATTGGATGCTGACCATATTAATTTAAGTGAACTTGTTTAGCTGAAGGCGCTCGGTCATGCATCCGTACCAGATCACGTTACAGAATAGCGTCATTTACACTAGCAAATCCAGTTCAAAAATTTCAAGGTCGATCAAGAAATACACATTTTATATTTCTCAAGACATGTATCGGAGGCTTACTTATCACCAATGCGAGAGAAAGTGAGCATTTTTATTATCTCAAAGGCTGTTTGAGCAGCCATATGATTAGGGATTTGGAATAAACCCTTAGTGATGTAAACCTGAAAAGGTAATTTTTCGTATCCTAGGCCGCTTACTAAAATTAAGGCATGTTGCACTTCTTCCTTCGGAAACAGAATTTACGGCAGTCTTTCATTTAACCTCAATCAAAAAACATCATTTTTGTTTCAGTCTGATATTCAGAACGTTAGAGTTGTACTTTTCCTATACATGAACGTAGATAGTTTGTTTTTTATTACGTTGTTGTTCGGAACATCATATACACTTCTGATGAAGTTTAGACTCAACCCTACATCTTGCTGTACAACAAATATGATGGAGCTCAAGAATATCTGGCTGAATAGTGGACAGGATATGCATTCATTGTAATGGTTCAAAACTCCGTTATTACTATCCTACAGGGTTCCGCAATCAGTTTATCGGGATACTTTGAGTTAAAATTCATGAAGTACTTGTTGTAAGGCGTGAGTAATAAACGAACACACCAATGAAAACATTGAACACCCACCATGACATTGACTAATTTTGACCTCGTATGAATGTGCCTTATTAATTATTCATCAATCACAATCATTCATATTTGTCATAAATATCATTAAGTTTTGTTGACTCATTCTTCCTAGGTTCTAGTTACTAT